TCCAATACCGCAACGTGCAATATGTGGCAAATTCTTGAGCTTTTCAATCGTCAACCCTGTCTTTATCGGTGGAAGTAATCACTCCAATGCGAAGGAAATGACGGCCCCACTTGGTTCAATGCTGCTGCTGACCCTAAACCCACCACAAGATAGCAGAGCTTATCGCACCTTACGGCGTTCCAAAAAGCCGGCACCGAAGACACAGCGCCGCAATCCAGTAATTCATATTTCAGTGGACGCCGGAAGACACGGATCAAGGCTCTATTGTTTGTGTTCGTGCAGTCAAAACCTAAATATACCGAGCCGTCTCCCGAACGGGACTCGTGAAGGTAGAGTTCGCCTAAGGACTCCATCGGGCGCCATGAACGTACCACAGAACACTTTAACTTACAGACATGAACCTTGCCCTGCCAGGATCCCTGACCGACTCGCTGGTTGATAGGCGACCTGCGAAAGTCGTGCGCGTTTATAATTCAAGTACGCAGTCCGGTCTGGCACAAATTTGAGAAAAGCGGACTGGATGTCCTCGGCCCTTGCACACGATCTAGCCCGGCGAATTTGAGACTGGAGCGACCAACCCAGTGACAGCGAAAAGTGATGGCGACGCTGCCTTCCGAGCTCATCGAGCAGATATGTTCTCTTCTTTGCTTCCATTGTCAAAATCATGGGGCATTTCCCACTGTAAATTCGGGCGACGCCTCTGTATCAAAGAAGGCGTTGTCACACTTCTGTCGAGTATCTAAGCGTATCTACGCCGTCGCCCAGCCGTTTCTTTTTCATTACTACGCCACGGGGAATTTACCACGAGGGCTTCATTGCAGCATCCAAACCCACACCGGAGAGCCCCCTAAAGAGAATGACAAGCTTCCCGAATTTTTGCGCAGCATCATCGAGCGTCCAGATTTAGCATCCCAAGTGAGAGTGCTTCAGCTGGTGGAGACCGACGAAATCAGCAGTTGCACTCCGGACTTGGCTTTTATACTCAGCAAAGCCACTGAGCGCCTCGGCGCCTCAGAACATGCCCCAACACGAGAGTACTTACAGACTAAGATCTGGAGAGGCTTCATGGGTCAACCGGAGACCTTGATGCGCATTCAGCGACGCAAGGTTCACCACTGGCTCGAAGAGCTCGTGGTTCTCCTTTCGCCCAACGTAGAACGGTTGTTCATCGCGCGCGACAGCTTTGTTCACTATGAGCACATCAAAGACAGTGGTGCCTCCTTTCCCGCACTCAGAACCATTGCCATCGGAGGTGTCAGCAAGAATCAGCACGTGCACGAGGCTTCAGTCCTCTTCAACGCAGCACCGAATCTCGATAGCCTCTATGCATTGCAATGCAGTCTCTTCGACGGGATCAGCCCTTGGTCCATGGCCAAACCATGGACCCTCAAACTCCAAGGTGTCCGGAGGTTGGTCCTCAACGACATAGGGGTCGAAGATTTGGAGCTTTTGATCGGCTGTTGTCCCGAGTTGCAGGAGTTGGAGGTTTTTGCAACGAAGATTCATTTGAGGTCAGGCGTCAATTACTGGAACCTCGCAAAGCTCCTGCAGGCCCTCGAGCCCGCACAGCACCAACTACGGAAATTGCGGCTTTCCTGTTTGCCAAGTCGGAAGCATGCAGAGAGTTCGCGGCCGAATGCCGTAGAAATACCATGGTCCTTCAGACAATTTGATCAGTTGGAAGAGCTGGCATTTGATCAAGCTGCTATAGAGAGCCTCTCGCGGACTACAACCACCGAGGAGAGTATTACGTTTGATTGGAGCTTGATGGAGGCACTACCATCGTCAATCCGCAAAATTCAGCTTCTTCACGTAAGCAAGAGGTTCATGGGGAACTTAAAGCGTCTTGCTGAGAACGTCCACTTCGCATTGCCTGAATTGAGGGCAGTCCATGTCAGTTTGGTAGAGGGAATAGACAAAAGAGATGTCGGATCGAAGAGCATAGACTCCATAGAATCAGCTTTTGAGTCAGCAGGCATAGAGGTGCACTGGGCTATAAGCTGCACCGAAGGAAACACCTGGATATAGTCCCAGGCGTAACGATGGAATCGGAACCAGAATTATTGTTCCTGATAGGATCAGCTCTACCAGATACAAATAGATGCAAGGTACAATAAGGGGTATCATTTCACGGTAGACAGGAAGGGGCAGGCAGTCACTCGCTTAACTCCTGGGGAGAAAAAGATAGCGGGCTGTGTTATCCGCAATCCAGCATATCGCACCGTCGCCAGCACCATGCGTATGCGCAAAGATAATGTATAACCGTATTTTCGATTCGAAGCACTTGCTGCAGAAATCATAAAGTGCGATGTTAGCTGCATGCAGTCGATGTTCCACATTTAGAGCGCGTTGAAAGTTACCGGTAGCCTTGGTCCTGTTCGCAGTCTGCCTTCCAAAAATCCAAACACAATTCAAACGTAAGCGAATCTTTGTCAAACTATAGAAACACTTCAAAATGCGAGGAAGTAGACATTTTGGATGCATGTCCCAGAACCTCGACTTCGGTATACATCGTCTGCAGCTGATACAAAAACAGATCGGGCCGGTAAGGGCCTCAATAATATTGTTTTGAAGACGAATGAATGGAGGCACGAAACAGAACCCACGTAGCTTCTGCAACTCATGGATTGGCAAACTCGGCCGGGGAACCCACTGTGAGGCGTTGCAAACGACGACTGAGGGTTTCACATGCATAGATCAGTGCAACCGCCATTGCCAGATCGCGTCATTTGTTTGCTCGCCAGCCGAAGACATCATTGCACAATGTCGGCAACCGGGGCCGATGTCTTTCATTAGTTGCCGCTTATCGATTGCCCGTAAAAACCGAGTCCAGTTTTGGAACTGTCTTATCACAGGGTTAATTGGTTTGCATTGTCTTAGATCGGCTGCAGCGACTGGATGCTGCCTGGATCCGGCAGTCTTGACAGGGGTGCCGGGCAAAAACCGGTGCAGAGAATAATTCCATGCGTCTTGAAACGGTTGTGGCTTCTTCCTCTGCATGGTATCAACGGCTTCATAGATGGGACAAGAGCCGAAGCTAGTGCTAGATAGGGCCGAATGAGAGAGACACCAAGCTCGACTAAAAGAGAATTCGACGATTCTGGGGCATTCGGCAGGGCCAATGGTTTTTATTTCTGAGACATTCTCAATTTAGTACCAAGTAACTAGAGATAGCGGTATCAGATATCCGGTCTGAGGAGACGTCTGTCATCCAAAGCCGAGCCGGCTCAAAGTAGAAGCGTAATGGCGGCAACAAAATGAATTCGACGCAGTGAGACGGTGCAGAGCCTCGTGGCATACTGCAGGGGCGGGATAAAAGTTACATAGGCGAGGTTACGGCACAAACATGAAGGTATTGCGTATTGCAGTCTTCCCGCGAAGAGCTATTGTAAAAACTTGATACCTTATCATGGTGACAAGAAGCTGGATTTTGGTGGGTGTCCGTGGGTGACAGAGTTCCACCATGAGCTGCGCAATAAAGCGTTTGTGTCGAACAAATCGCAATGTTGATCACCAGTTCTTTGACAGGGACGTGTGGTCAGCGTAGGTGTTGATGTCGAGCCACGTGCCTACCGGCTAGGGCTTGAGTTGGTCGTCAGGGGCAGGAAGCCAAGGCACCGTTAGAGTTTGCCATCGATTCGTATTGATAGAGAAAATCATCATCTCAATCAGCATGAGATTCTCGTTTCCGGCACTGGAGACAACACTTTCTCGGCAAATAGATACAGGGTATGGTTTTGTCAGTGAGGAGGCGAGGGGCAAAGCACTGCTCGATGCTATGATATTGGTTCCACGGTATTGTAGTACAATGGAAAAGAGCGGGACTCGATCTAGGTCTCGAATCAATCCTATGCGGGTTGAGAGACATTGTGGACAGGAGAGTGCTGCGAAGACAGCGAGGGTTCCGCCGGTAGCGACCATAACCCTAGATTCTCCGTCGACAGTTGGACAATCTGGGGTATCAAGTCAAATGGTGCGACAAGATCTGAAATGACAAAAGTCAAGGGCGTGCATTCAATGATAAACCTCCACGAAGGGTTTGTTTGGCTATGAGCAAAAGCAAAGGGCGTTTAGCTAAGGTTCGCTAGGTCATTTCATTGGATTTGTTACAAGCTTACAACTAGTTGAAAGGCCTGGCTGTCGCTCTATTGTGGCATTTGCGAAGTCGGTGCTGGTGGGTAACTAATTATCTTGTGAAAAGTAAGAGACAGAGCTCGGATAACAATCAACATCTGGTTTGTCGACTCATCTCTCCCACCGTCTTGAATCTACTTGTCAACAAAGCTCGTCTCCGAGGACTAGTCAATAATGTCTTGTCCTCCTCTAAATGAGATCAAATGGCTGATTGCCGAAGTCAAAGTACATTTGAAGTCTCTTCCTGCTGATTGTGAGTGCCACGACAGCGACGGCATTTAGACCGCAGTCCGAGTACAACTCCCGTTCCTAGTCAACACTAGAAGAGCTAACGTTCGGCATCAATTACCGGCCCAAAAACCAGTCTCAGCAATACTTCTCTCCACTGCTTGAAGCGTGTCGTTGTGACACGGAAGGCCAGACAATTGTCTCGGGATTAGTACCTCGGGGAGCCGCTCTCTCTCAGCTCGCGTAGGGCAGCGAATGCTATCTGCTTTCGGTTTCATGACCCAGGTCCACGGCAAGGGAAGGTAATGCCAGAGCCGAATATTATGCATGACTGACACGTTTCGGAGGCTACATAAACTCCCCATAACCTCCTTCTTTTGATCTCTTGTCCTCTCCCCAGGACAGACTGGCTGTTTCAGGAATTAGCTGTCTTACTCTCTCCCTAACCAGCCCTCCCATTTTGTGTCACTTCTGATCCCAAGTACTGACCGCCAACTCAAGACCACTGCGACACCGGAAATCTACTCAACAGCATGTTCGACGCTCAGAATGCTTTAGCGGTGTCTTGTGTGGCAGCTCCACAACTCCTGCAATCAAGTGCCTCTACTCTAGCACCAAGCGACTCAAACTACGATAAAATGGAAAAGGAAGTAATCATCTCGAGTTCCGCGCCATCCCTTCAGAACATTGACATCCATATTACCTCGGCGAGGTCAGATTCATGCGCCGACTCTGCTCGAATACCCTCTGCAAAGCCGGAAACGATAGCAAAAGTGAACGACGAGAGGAACACAGAATATCCAGGAGGCATGAAGCTGGCATTGATCGTAGCCGCAGCTTGCTTCAGTGTCTTCCTAATGGCTCTTGGTAATTGAAGCCCTCGTGAAGCTACTCTAGTTTCGCTCACCAGCATCATCCAGATAACTGCATCATCGCAACAGCCATTCCTCGCATTACCGATGAGTTCGATAGTTTGAAGGATGTCGGTTGGTATGGCAGTGCCTATCTGCTTACCACAGCGTCGCTTCAACTGCTCTTTGGCAGACTATACAGTTTCTTCAGCATCAAGTGGATCTATCTCATCACCATCGGCATCTTTGAGCTAGGCAGCTTGATCTGTGGCGTCGCGCCGAACAGTATCACCCTGATCATCGGCCGTGCAACTGCGGGAGTTGGCTCAGCAGGCATCTTTTCTGGGGCTCTCATTGTTCTCGCCCATAGTATTCCTCTAAAGAAACGTCCTATTTACACTGGGATTGTCAGTAGCATGTGGGGCATCTCTTCCGTCGCTGGGCCTCTGCTCGGTGGCTTCTTTACTGACAATTTGACCTGGCGGTGGTGCTTCTACATAAACCTCCCAATTGTAAGTCAAAAAACCTCAGCTCCATCTTCGATACCATGTTTCTGACTTGGCCATAGGGAGCAGCGACAGTTTTCGTCATCATATTGTTCTTCCCGGACCCCATACGTTCCATCTCTCAAGAGACTTGGCGTACACGTCTAGTCCAAACGGATCCTCTCGGCAATATCCTCTTTATGCCATCGGTTGTTTGCCTTCTCCTAGCTCTTCATTGGGGTGGAGTTATGTACCCCTGGTCCTCGACTCGTATCATTGCTTTGTTCGTAGCCTTCGCTATAGGCATGCTGGGATTTATATATCTGCAATACCTCGGCCAGGAGAACGCCACGGTACCACCTCGTATCATTAAGAAGCGTACTGTCTGGTCTTGTTCATTCTTCTCCTTCGCCTTGGGCGCTGCATTTCTCCTGTCAGTCTATTACCTACCCATATGGTTCCAGTCTGTTCAGGGCGTCTCTGCCGTCAATTCGGGTGTCAGGAACCTACCGATGCTAGTCGGTAATCTTGTCTTCTCTCTTGTTGCTGGCGCTGCAGTTACAGTATGGGGGTACTACACGCCCTTCATGCTACTTAGTTCTGTCCTCATGAGTATCGGTTACGGGCTTTTATCCACCATCAGCCCTGAATCACCATGCGCGATGTGGTTCGGGTACCAGATCATTGCTGGCGCCGGTGTGGGAGTTGGGATGCAGCAACCCCTCATTGCGGTACAGGTTGTGCTCGACATGCCCGATGTGCCAACGGGGACCGCCATCGTTATCTTCGCTCAGCAAATCGGCGGTGCCATTTTCGTCGCCATTGGGCAGGCGGTGTTCACCAATGGGCTAATAGAGCGTCTGCTGCAGCACATTCCCAGCATCAACTCGCACTCCGTCATTGCCACTGGTGTCACAGCCATCCGCAAGACGATAGATTTGGGGCTTCTTCCGACCGTTGCACATGCCTACAGCGACTCTTTGGTACAAACACTCCTTATAAGTGCTGTGGCGGCCTCTTCTACTATCATAGGCGCGGTGTTTGTTGAGTGGGAGAGCGTCAAGGGCAAAGCTGTTCAGCCCAGCATGGTGTAAAAGTGGGGTTGGCCCAGCTCTGGCTTTTGAGATATTTGGTTATTCTGGCGGATGGCTGTTGTTCTGCTTGGACTTGTTATTGCACGGGAGACTATTCAAATGTCTTAGTATCGACCAGTGTGGCTTACAGTGGTTTACGGGTCGAGAGGCAGCTCACTATGTCGCTCAAGTGGATCTGACTCTCCCAGCTGCTTACCTTTCTCTGGCTACTTTATACCTCCTTGTGTGATACCTAAGGTAAGTTAAGTAAGCTAGGTAAGTAGTATAAGCCCGTATACTGTTTTAAGGCGGCAAATGTTATTAGCGTATGAATATAAGAATTACTAGCTAAGCACTAAACTTACCTGTAACAGACGGGCTGACAGTGACCACGTCTAACAATAACCCGTTGAGCTATATGCCCAAAAGGTCTGCCAGTGCTTGCACGCTTACAAGCGCTGCTGTCAACATTGCTTATATAGGCAGGAGGTCTACGCCTTCCTAGGCGCATCTGACCCGGCAGAATTGTCCCTGTGACATTACCTAAGACAGAGTTATATATAGTTAGTTACAAATAAAATAATTAACTTTTAAAATATATGTTAATAGCTAAGACCCTCTGGTGTTACCTTCTGGGTTATATGTAGAATGTGGCTCACTGTTTCTATAGATCCTAACTTACCTAGGTGATATAAACATTATCCACAGAACGGTTCTATAGAGTAGATGCGCCCAACGCTTTTTTGTACTAATTCTGTTAAGTAACTCTTTTGGTGTACTAAATCGAATCCAGAATCAAGGCTCCACATGAAATGGACAATATTGATGAGAGACCACCTACCTGGCTAAGGTTCTGAGCACAATTGTGTAACTTGATAGGTAATGAGTTCTTGTGATTCTCTGAATGAGTCACCTTCTTCATGGGTTGACTAGTTGAAGTAGAAATAGCGGTTTACACAAATTCATAACTTTATCTCAGTCAACAGCTACTTTCAACGTTAGTACCTCGCATATAACAAGTCTTGCGGGTTAAATGGAAAGCCACCTGTGACCATTTTATACCCACTCTGAAGCTGAGTCTAGTTAGCGATTAAGCCCTGTCATATCATATCTATACTGGATATGTGATAAAAGGAAAGTAAAAAAATACAAATCCAGACATTTATTTCCGTACTATTAAGTCTTGGTTGATTTACAACCGTACAAGTTCCCAAATATCGATAGGAAAACCCTGAACAAAAGGCAAACCCAAACATTGAGCATAAGCAATGCGATACTGAGCCCAAGCGCCACACCCACTTGTCTCTGGATTACCCCATCAAGTAACCAACCTAAGGAAGCCCAGAAATACGGATAGAGATGAAGTGGTCCTCAGGGGAAACCAATCCAGGTAGCTGGTTCTGAAGATCGGGTACCAGAGCTACCGGCACAGAAACCGTCAAAACACCTCGGCTTGGGGTGTATTCGAATGCCAAACCTGAATTAGTGATGGAACCTCCGTCTTGGTCTTGAAATGAGACACTGACGGCATCGGAAGTGCTTGGTGCTGTGCACTTCTCGGTCCAAATGGCGAGTTGGTACGTGTCACCAACAAGGGAAGACGCGTCGAATTGGTTCCAAGGATGAGAAAGCTTGACAATTCGTAACGCGCCGTCATACTCCTAAGGCCAGCATCAGCTATATACGCTAACAGTGGCATTTGATGGACTGGAAAAACCTGATGAATCTTGACTTCGCGAAAGCAGCTCTTGGCCTCATTCACTTTAGAAATGGTAGCATGAGGGTCGTTACTATACCTGTGTTGAGGTAGACAGGCCGGCGCACTGTCCCGGCTAACGCCATCATCCAAGTACATGGAGTAATGCTAAAATATCACACCTATCAGTCTAAGTTCGTTACCCAAGTTGCAGGAGGTTACTTGCCGTTGGTTTGCGCCCCAGCCTATTGGGATAGATGTGAATTGTAGGCTTGTTCTTGTCACCTTCATTGACGAACTGGCGAACGTGAAGCTGCGGAACTATGGCGCCTGTGATTTTCAGCTTCTCAGTCATGCGTGGTAGGAGTTTCAGTTACTTGCCGGCTCGAACATATACTGGTGTGACGAACGGTATTTGCTCAGGATGAATCCCGGCATTAGGTATGTAGCACCCATAACTGATCGTGGTACCACCAGGTACGGATTTCTCCAAATCAGCAGCGTGCTTGATTCGCTGGGGGTCCTTTCCTTGATTCTGGACGTCGATGCGAAGGTTCAATGGGTACCACTGATCAGAACCGGGCAGATAAACTGGCCTGTGGCTTACGCCTGGATTAAGCACAGGGCAAACCAAGATGTTGTGACCAAGAAGGTACTGATTGTCGATGAAATCATCATTCGCATTGAACAGTGTTGAGTCTTCCGGATCGGTAATAAGCTAATTGTTTTAGTGAACAATCTTGTTCAAAGGGCGTAGCAAGAACATGTGGCGTACCATGGCCCGGGCGATGGGCAAGCCGTCAATCAAGTTTGCAAACATAGTATCGTAAAGCACCTGCAAGAGCGAATATCGGAGTTGGACGTAGTAACGGCAAATCGGCTCGACTGACATGTAGAGGTTGTACACATCTTGACTGGACCCCTGAAGAGCTTGCGGGTAATTCTGAAAAGCGTATGTGTACTGCCACGGTTCCTGAACGATGATCGACGTAAGTAAAGTACGTGAAGCTTCGCAGTATCCATAATTACCTGGAAATCCTTGCCGCCGAAATGCTGAATGTAATGATTTCGGTACCAAGGCAGCAAAAATGCTCCCGTGTACCAGCGGATCAGCAGCTCTGGATCACACCACTGCGGGGGGTTGAGCTCCTTGTCTGGATCAGGGGTGAAGCCTCCCATGTCAACTCCTGCAATTGTTATGCCACTGTACCCCAGAGCAATGACTTGAGCAACTGATATTCTCCAGAAATCCCAAGAGCTGCCGTTGTCACCAGTCCAAAGGCCGGCGAATCTGTGCATGCCAGTAAGGCTACCACGGCCAATGATAAAGTTGCGCTTGTTCTCCCTCCCTTTAAGCTGATTCAGCCCTTTGTACGTTGCTTTGTGCAAGTTGTAAGAGTAAAGACCCCAAAGCTCAATAGCAGTCTTTGTCGGTGGCTTAACTTTCGGATCTTGGTTGGGAGTGTCATCAGACATGAGAAGACGGGATGGGAAGCTGTAACTTTGTGAGCGACTGTTAACTCTGGAACACACGGATATCTGACCCAAGCATGTCGCCGTAGACCTCTGCAACGGCAGGGGTTGTCATGTCTTGCCAGACAAACTCCAGACCGTTGTCGAACAGATACTGGTACTGCTCACCCCATTTTTCGCGTGCAACGGTACGGTTCAGGTCAGGATAATAGCCGGCCTGCCATAATCAGTCTTGAATCAAAGATCTGTAGAGATTTACTCACGGTGCCAAGGTTGGTGTTGGTTCCAGGAAGCGTGCCGTAGCTAACACCTCCATGAAATGGGTACCCGCTGTTGTAATTCTCGTTGAAGTTGTAATTGTCACGCAGTGCATTTTCGGGCTCATCCACAGAATCTGTGTAGATCTTCTGTATGTCGGGGTTGGCTGGATCCAGCTGTGTCGGCACTGCAAATCCACCGCCATCATATCGCCATCCACGCTGCTGGTTATCGGGCAGACCCTTCAGATACCTTTTGTCACTAACTAAAAGGCTGCGAATAGTCCGTCAGTCTAGTAAAACCAACAGAATTGGTTATTACTTACTTGGTGGCAGGATTCAGTTTATCACCTTCGTCCCAAAAGTTTCGTAGATTTATGTACGGGTCGGCGTCTGACTCTCGAAGACTGAGGATAGGCGTGATGTTCGTGCAGCACTTTACCCCCTTCTGCCTAAGGCCGTTCAAGAAGTTGCCAATGTTGCCGAACTTTGACTCACTCGCGGTGAAAGTGCGGTATCGATCCTAAGATTGTTAGTCATGATCAAGATTGGTCGTCAAGATCTTACCTGAAAATCAACGTCTAGGTGCATTCCGTCCAGGGGAATCCCCGAGGTGCGGTACCCGTCCACGATGCCCTCAACGGTTGCGCTCTTATTATATCCGTAACCTAAAATCATTAGCATGCTTCTGAGAAGGAGGAGTTCAGCTTCACAGCATACATCCTTGATGATGGCCTAAAATGAAGCGAGGCTTGAGCTTTGGTCGCCCGACGATCGAAGTGTATTGCCTATAGCTGTCAGCGACGACTCGGCAAAGTCGCAGATAATTCACCAACCAAATCATCTTCGGTACGTCGTCCGCCGTCATAACGTAAGCATCAAACGTCCCAAATCGTGTAGCAATGCCGATGGTGTTCGATTCGTTCGTACCAAGGTCAATAGCGACCTGTGAGTAGTTGTCAAGCATCAAGCCGGTAACATTCCGATGGGTCGGAATTCCATTCATTTCCAGGAAGAATGGAGATGAGTGGTATCTGTGGAATCAGCGTTGGCACGAGACATCTTATCAACGAACGCTTACAAGGGTTCTTTGTCATCTAGAGCCCCCTGGCCGTATACCTTCCTGTAATTGAAGTTGTCGTAGCCTGGGACCATTAGTAAACCGTAACGGTGACGACGCTGAGGTTAACGATGACTTACAGAAGTAATTCATGTACGTTGGCTTCTTCAAAACAGTCTTTCCGCCCTGTTCGCCGAACCCAAGATAGTGGGCTGGGGGCGGCTTATGCATTTTGAGGATGACATTGTTGATTGCATCAATCTCGCGATCGCCGTTGTAGGAAAAGGCCTGGTCAGCGGTTCGCCAAATCACTTCTTCCGAAATTGATGTTCCTTGAATGCCGGCCTCTGCTATGAATGAAGGAATCTTTTCCCTCGGCTCGAGACCCGGTCGTGTTGCCTAAGATACATTAGACTGTCATTTTCATGCGAGGGATCTGACGTACAATGATTCGGAATGGTGACGCGAAAAAGTGTAGGCGAGTCTTAACTGCCCCGTCCGGAATTTGAGCAGTGTGATCAACCGACTACGTGAGCTTCAGAATTATCTACTCGAAGTCGCCTAGCATGGGTCAAGAACACTCACACTGAGAACCCAGTGGTCATCTGACAGCTGTTCAAACGTTGTTTTCCAGTACCAGCCCTGCGGTGCACGGTAGCTGTTGCCCGCATCGCAATCTCGGTATTCTTGCTGGAGATCATCAACGAGGTCTACAAAACGGTTCCTCACAATTATACGTCTAGGTTGGTCATTAGTTAGAAAGTAATGTCGGCCTATCACGGAGTTCAAGCGAGGTTTGATACGTACGAGTTGGTATCCGGATAGTCCTCGACAGCAGTGAATTTTGGGTTGTATCTGATTCTCCAGATTTGAGGAGTTACAAACTGAACGAGACAGTGCGTTGAAGCATCGCCTTCAACTCCTTGAAGAGTGACATGAGCGGCGTATCGAAGAGGGTTGTTGGTTCTCTCCGTTAAAGCAGAGGATTCGACCTTAATGGCTTTGACAGGCGTCTTATAAGGTGGAACAGGTGCCTTTGCCGAGTTGAAGAAAACATCGGCAGGAATGAAATTTAACAAATCACCAGGAGCAGACATTGGAGCAATGTCGATTGCAAAGTTCATGCGTATGAACCTTTCGAGGCCCAATCAATGTAGGCCGAGTGGTTCGTCCTTATATCGGCCCCATCGCTAAGGTAGCTTAGTATAACCAAGGTAGCCATGGTACCTCAGTAATAGAGAAAAATGTCTTGGTAGTGGAATTATTAAACTGGGCCGAGATCACCAGCTTGGCATTCACCAATGAAGCCCTTTGACGCCATGAAATGATAGGAGCTGCTAGAAATCATGATCTTGATCCTCAGCTTACTTTTGGTCGGTCTAGATCTCGTTTGCGGTATTGAGAAATTCTTGGGCGGCAAATGGTACTTGCAGCTGAAATAAAGGTATCCTAGGTGTGCTGTCGAAGTTACTTTGGGGAGTTTGATACTCGTCATGCCACTCTAGCCGGCCGCTTGATGCCTGCCTCAACATCATTCCGCCACATGAGCCCCGAAAGAAGTGGTCGATGAATGAATCAAATGCCTCAAGATGAAAGCATCACTCTGTTTTCAGTTACCGCGTACTTTCGCGAATCGCATGGACGGTTTGACCATAAACTACTGAGATCCGAGGCTCAGAGTCAAAGTTTCCCCAAGCAAGCACAAGACTGTAAGACGGGGAAAACATGTCGAGCACAAGTTACCTACGGTATCTGGAATCACAGAATACTTGCTTTTAAACTTGACGCAGCGTGTCAATCAGTTCATTCCTGTCATGAGTCTCAACTAAACGGCTTGGGCTTCTCACCATAAATGGAGTGATATTAGGTAGAGACCCCCAATTCCCCAGCTTCCAAGACTGCTATCTGGCGTTAGCTAGCATACTTCGCAAGTTTTCATCGGCCGGCGATTGCCTGACGGTTGTCAAAACAGGAAACATAATTATCTCAACATCATGTGTTTTTGGTCCTGTTCGTTCCCAGAGAGGAAGGCTCGTGTCAAAGCTGGCGTGATCAGCCAGCCATGCTCAGTGCGGCTGAACATAGTGTGTTTTAGAATCTGACTAGCTAAGCCTGGTTCGGACCGTCCCGCTTCAGCTCCCCTCAACGCCATCACAAATGCATTCTAACGGAAGTCATATCGGCTGGACCCCGAAATGAAACTATGAGGCGAAGGCTTCTCCAATTCCGTTGACGGCTCGAAATTCACATTGGCCCATCACGCCGAGTCCGATGGCAACGTACAAGCTTAGCAAGCGTGATTGTGGCTTACAAGGGCCCAAACTAACCCTATGATAATTACCTTAGGTATTAGTACATCAACAAGCCATGGGGACTGTGTTTCCCCGGCGATTTCTGAAAGCGGTTATTGACTCTCATGAATGTGGGGATGAGCTGACTGCGGCAGAATGCGGTGGCTGCCGTCGCCATTTTCATGATAAGAGAGACTGGCCAAAACTTACGGTCCAGAGCGTGAGTCCTTCAACGAAGCAATGATCTACTAAGGCAGAGTCACTCGATCCGTCTCCACACTAAATTTGACATTGACAAACATGTCTGTTAGGACAGCAGCATGAATGCCGTGACAGCATGCATGCATACTTACTTACATACTGGCTATCCCAGGGGGCTTCACGAGTTGCCATCCATACTTAGGACAGTCGAACTTGGTTCCCAAGCTTTGCCTTTAAGTGAAGCACTTCCCCCACCTCTGATGCTGGTGCTTCAAACAAATCCTTCAAATACAGTACCTGATTTAGTCCGGCAGATAGGTCCACCTCTGATAATGACGTTTTTCAAAAGGCTCACAGAGTTCCTCTTCTTCACCCCTGAATTCTCCGCACAGGGCAGACTGGCAACACAGCTATTGGCCGAGGAACTCGGTGGCCTGTCTTTCACAGGGTCTTGCAACACCGCCAACAATCGCAAATGTTGGTCTGAGGGATTCAACATCACCACTGATTATGAAAAGCATGTTCCTGATGGAATAGAGCGAAAGGTCAGTGATATCTCACAGTGATGCCAAAATTAATCATTTGTCACTGATTATGAATGATCTAGTTCTACTTGGAGGTCGACAACCATGAGATTGCCCCTGACGGGTACCTTGTTCAACGCATGTTGTTCAACGGAACCTATCCTGGTCCTACGCTTGAGGGAAATTGGGGAGATACTTTTAGTAAGTCGGCTAGTGCCGCCCTCTGTCATCTTGGCTTGGACTCTGTCGAGTTTGATTTCAACACTCAGATCTCGGTGCTTTAGCTAACTTACCCAAACAGAAATTACAATCAAGAACAAGCTGAAGAATCACAATGGGACATCTGTCCATTGGCATGGCATCCATCAGCGTAACTCAAATTGGATGGATGGAGTGTCGGGCGTGACAGAATGCCCAATCCCCGTAAGCCTACATCTCCATAATTCCATCAATATGGAGCTAATACTCGAAGCCCGGGGAAGAGAAAACGTATACTTGGCGAGCCACTCAATACGGAACTTCATGGTATCACAGTGCGTACTGAACACAGTCAATTGCATAATAATCGCTGACTTTCTCAGGTCACTTCAGTCTTCAATGTTTGTCACCCCAACTCTTTATCGCCACCCTCTGCACGTGAAGTTAACACGACTGGTCAGACGCAGATGGGCTCGTGGGTGCATTGAAGATCAATGGGCCAACGAGCATGAATTACGATGAAGATCTCGGCCCTGTGCTAATCACTGACAATTTCCACAAGACTGCATTCTCTCAAGTTCAACTCGAGTACATGGGTAGGTCCGCACCACCACAAACTCGTCAAATCTAATCAAGTGGATCAGGTCGACCTCCTGCTCCCGACAGCATGTTGATGAACGGCAACGGAAGATACTACTGTTGCCCAGTTGGTGCGAGCTGCAACGCAGACCCGAAGTGTGTTGGCGGATCGAACATTACGACATTTAACTTCAAGCGGGGGAGGTCCTACAAGATGAGCCTTGTCAACACCGGCACCTCGACCCATACGACCTTCTGGATCGATCATCACAACTTCACGGTCGTGGGTACGGATTTTGTCCCGATCAAACCATACACAGCATCCATCATCAATATAGCCATCGGTCAGCGTTACGACATCATTATACACGCCGACGCAAGCAAGAATACCCGGACAGACTTCTGGATTCATGCTCGCGATTGTCAAATCGGAGGTGCCCGATCGAATCTTGGCATTATCCGCTATGATCCTACGTCAACAAGACTACCTTGGACACCCCCAGTAGACGACCGTCACGTTTGTTATGGCTGCCTCGATGAGTCTCCTAAAGACCTGAAACCGATAGTCCCACGGATGGTAAAGAACGCAGCTAATGAGGGCTTCGAAAAGGATTCGTTGAAGGTGCACCTGGTTGGATTCCCTAACGACTTTGATCCGGATGCAACGCTCCACAAGTGGGTTCTCAAAGACTCTTCGCTTTATTTAGACTGGTCGCAGCCCAGTCTGAGCCTGGTCAAAATTGCATCTGACCAAGGCTGGGAGAATCCCAAATTTCCCAAAGGTTATGAGCCAGTGGATCTTCAGTCCTACAAGGAGAACAGCTGGGTGTACTTCCTAATCGAGGGCAAATTCCAAGAGTCTGTCAACAACGCAACTCACAAAATCTACAAAACGCAAGCACCAGTGGCACATCCTATGCACATACATGGACACGACTTCGTTATTCTCGATTCTGGAACCGCCGAGTTCGATCCAAAGAACTATACCATCAACCGCGATAACCCGCCCCGCCGTGACGTGGCACTACTTCCAGTTAATGGGTATCTGATAATTGCTTTCCAAAGTAGGCATTCCAGACTTATTCTCTACCTGTATAGTAGTATCTAACCACCAGGAATCAGTCGATAACCCCGGTGTCTGGTTGATGCACTGCCACGTAAGTCATTTACCACAAGATGGCCATCCGATGCCCGACTAACAATCGCAGATTGCCTGGCATGCAAGCGGCGGTCTTGCTTTGCAATTCATTGAGCAACCAGAGAAGCTCAGCCGCCAATTTGGGGACTCCGGTAGAGTAGATGAGTTTTCAAAAACTTGCACTAACTGGGCTGCATACTACACTATGTTTAACAAGAACTACAATGCTACGCAGGATGATTCGGGTATTTGATATAGGCTGAGAAGACGGAGAGGATAGAAAGTTAGTATTCACATTGCTTCCCACTGGAAAAAGATGACTTTCGAAGCCGGTTAGCCTCGCGTTGAGATTGAACAGATTTTTCTCAACCCTGATTTTGTTAAGATGATGAAGTCGCCGCTATCAACGTTTCTCCAGCTTCGACATGATCCACTCGTAAGATATTGAGCGTCATTTGGCTCTCCAGCTGCGCCCCGAAGTTTAATAATATCATTGTCTCCCAGTGAAAATTGCGTGAAGCCTCATTCTTTTATGAAGATTAGACAAGGCGCAAGAGAGATGGCCTTCTTGCCCTGAAGATGACTATCGGTCTTAGGAATACCCTTTACCATGACGTTCGCATTGTAGTGGATGTCGCCAGCGGAAGACAGCAATGCACTAAGTGAGTATGCTCATTGGATAGATAGCAATATAGCTACAAGACAATTAGTACTTCCGTTGAATGACAGCGTAAGACCTAGAGAAGGGGATAATTGGCATCTGTTAGCCACCCTTGATAGCGGGAGTGTTGTTCACCTTAGGTAAGCTGTTCGCAGGTACTGCCGCCTCTTATTTCCTTCAAACCAGTAAGGAAACTTTAGTCAATTTCAGGTTTTCTAGCAAGGAAAGCATCGAGGGTCTCGGCATATTTGTTTGCGGCTCGAGACATCCTCTTACGAACCTTTAGTACGGACAAGAGGATTCATTTTGCATATGGTAAAATACTTATTATTTCTTAGTTCTGCTAAAGTTTTGAAACTGTGTGAATCTTTGTAGTGGCGGTTTGCTGAGCTGATGGCTACTCGCTTAGCGTCAGAGGGTGGGTGGTCTTGTTAGACACCTCGGGACGCCTTGTGCACCCCTCGGAGATCCTTTGATTGAATGCAGGGGTTAGAAACATGGTAAATTCACCTACGCCCACGTGGCAACGTCTTTTATGCATATCGTAAGCACTTTAATTGCCGGAGCCTCGCTCTTGGTCTGCAGGCTACAGACTTCGTCGCAGTCGTTAGTTTCCCTCCGCAACCCGAATGACCATCTTCTTTGCACGGACGGTTCCATTCTGCAACCCCTTCAGAGCACGCTCAACGCCCTGCAATCCCTCGATCACTTCGAATGGGTGCGCCTTCATCCATCCCGTCCTCAATCCTTCAGCAAATACTCTGGCCCAGATCAGTCCAAACAATCGACCCTCTCCCTCCTCCTCGTGTACGTGTCCAACACTCGTGGTGATAACCTCGACGCTCTTGTCAATCGCGCTAAAATCCCTACCCGGCAACACTGTTGTAACCCTGGGCTTAAAACCAGTGCCCTCTTCAGGCGGGCCCGCGATCGCCTTGCCAAGCATCTCAAACGACCCGTTCTCGCTGACCGTGTCGAAGACTCTGAAGCACGGCTGACCGGTCTCTTTGATAACCTCTCTCAGCTTCTCGGCTAGCTTGTCCTGGGACTCGAACTGCGTATAGTCCAAAAACACGTCACCCTGCTCCTTCTCCAACAGGGGGGTGACAAAAGCACTGTTTTTACTGCCCACGGCGATAAGTGGGTGCACGCCCGCCTTTTTCGCAAGCTTCACACCAAACGCTCCGATCGCCGTGCTCACACCGTAAATAATAACCGGCGTCTTCTTCGCCCTCGTCCGATCCCACGGCGAAGGCAGCTCAAGGGAATGGAAGAGCGCCGTAGCAGCCGTGTACGCCGCCAACGGCACGGTTGCCGCCTCCTCATAGCTTACGCTCTTGGGAATGTGAAATGCAGAGAAGGCCGGGACGATAGCGTACTCAGCGAAGCTGCCGTGCTCGGTGCGCATGACGTGGAAGCCAGCCACGCGGTCGCCTTTTGCGAACTCATAGACCTCAGAACCGACGGCCTCGATGGTTCCCGCAACGTCATCGCCAGAGTTGCTGGGCGTGTTCATCCAGTGAGGGAGCTTCCAGTCCTTCGGGTTCGTACCAGAGACGATGACCTTGATGAGGAGCTCGCCGGGCCCCGGAGTGGGGATGGGCGAGTCCTTAACCGTGACGGAGATGTCGGTGTTGACAATTGCTTCCTTCATTTTGGCGTACTGTTTTGTGTGTTGTCTGAATCAGATGACGAAGTATGGGTGTTCAATGGTTGTGTCAATGTGAAAATTTTTTTTGTTTGAACTTGGCTTTGATATATCAAACTCGAAGACTAGTCTCTGTGCCCAAAGTGACGTCAAAGACTTACCGAAGCCTACTGCTTAGGCCCTTTCTTCCTTATACTTCCATGCGTCGCACCCGACTTGCCGCACCCCGAAAGAGGGTTCCATTCTTCTCCACGGACAAGCGAAGACTCTAAAACCGTCTGGCCCGTCCCAAGATGCCATTCTCTGCCAATCAGCTCTACACTTGCCTCGGGATGGGAAGAAACGCAGGTCCGGGCGAACCGCTTCGAAATCCGCCCCGCCTTTTGCCTTCCGGGTCCCCGCCCCGATTGTAGTGATTGCACCATCACATCAGATGAGGGGCGACGGACTTGTTTGAAGCTGGAAGCTTACAAATCCAACTGGATGGTGTTGCACCGACCCGGACAATTTTAGAAAAGTCCGGTGCTCTAACTTCGCTGGCATTATCATTGACGATGTTTGAGCTAGAATTTGCTGGAAATGTGATAATTAGTGGTCGTGCGGTGTACCAATTAGAAATAGAGTATCAGTTCGGTCTCGGTTTCTAATGAACGAATAAACCTGGAAGAACAGCCTAATCGAGAATCTCTTATTTTCAGGTGAAACCTGTTGCCAAAGTGACCATTGAAGACTCCGCAACTCAATTACTCGAGTAGGACTGAACAACGTACTTGGCACCTATGTTCCATCTAGGTTACTTTTATCCGGTCTTTAACTCAATTTTGACTTCACTCGCCGCGTTAGGATTTGAAGACAAAGACTCTTGATTCGTAACATGCCAACAGAATGTTGTCCTGGTCTAGTAACCAAACCTCCTATTCCCTTGTCCGGAGACACAATAAGCGGCAGCTGCCTAGGACATCATCGCGACATACAAAATCTCTGTTAACAGTCTCATATGGGGCTTTAGAGTAGAACATTGACCTATTCTGGTTAAGCAAAGGTGCCTCATAACTGTCACATTGCGTTAGTTACTTTATTTGACTCAATAAATGTCTGCTTTTAGCTATTACTGGCAGCTATGTTAATTCATTGGATTAACCATCACCGACGAGAAGTCATCATCATCAATCAGATATGATCGTGGAAAAAGTCTATGTAGTCGAAGAAACTCCTCTTCACCCATCTCCCCAACTTTGGATCGGACCGGTTCACGCCCATCATTCCATACTGTTGATCAAAGCTCCCAAATTCATTATTGTCAATCCAACTCCAGGCCAGGGTGCCAATGATATTGACCCCATCCAAGTGAATTGCTCGTAACGTTTCGGTCAAGAAGCTCTGGTAGTACAAAGACCTATCGAGATCGTACCGTTGCGCATCGATTGGTGTATCCGTGTCGGCGTACTGCGGGAACCCAAACTCCGTTACCATGATGCCGGGTGGTCGGTATGTATTCCAGACGTAGCCAAACTGCTCTCTCACGTACGCCGGCGCAATCAGCGCCGCTCCCTCCGAGACTACGCCCATCTTCCACCCGTTGGCCTGTGTCGTGCTGAGCTTCACACATGATGGCCACAGCGGGTCTGAGGAGTTTGCGGCGCAGGCTTTATAGCCACCCGCTGGATCAGTGGCGTACTGCGCGCCGTATGGGTCAAAGGCCCAGTAGTCCATCGTGCCGTTGATGCGGGCAATTTGCTCGTCAGTGAGGGGGTTGAGCGTGGTACTGATCTTGGGCGTGCTGAGGACAACTTCGGGATACTGCTGGCCGAGAAAGAGAGGGTTGCTCATGATGCCGAGAATGAATTCCTGGTACCGGTATGAAGCGGCGACGTCGACGGGACTCTCTGGGTTTAAAGGTACAGCAAGATTGTTGGCGAACTTCATGGTAAGCTTGCCGGTTCCTCCTAGGACGTCTTTGTACCAGTGATACACATCCGCGTGTGCAAGGAGAAAAGCAGTCAGCCCGTTGTAGCTGGGTAAGGTAAATTGAACGGCAATGTTAGGCTCGTTGAAGGTGACCCAGTACGGTACCCTATCAGCGTACCGCGTCATGACCTGCTTGGCATAATACGCAAAATGGCGCGGGAAGTCGTCAAGCTCGTTAAATATGTCGATAGGGTTGTCAATGTGCATCAAAGTCGCAACCGGAGTAACGCCGTACTCAAGGCAAGTGTTGATGACGTCTTCATAGTGGTCTAGAGCCTGTTGGTTGATCGGAGAGTTCTCGACACCAAACGGAACGACGCGAGTCCAGGAGATGGAGAAGGAATAGTACGGTACCCCAAGGGCAGCAAGCCTCGCAATGTCCTGCTTGTACAGGAAGTAGTGCATGTCAGCGACGTTTGAATCATTGCTGCCCAGAAGTCCTTGAACATTCACACCAACCGTGTCGAGGACCGCGGGACCGCGGCCTTCGACCTGGAGACCACCCTCGATTTGCCATGCGCTTGCGGCCACACCCCATACGAAGTCAGGAGAGAACTTGAGTTTTGTGTTTTCATTCAGTGGTCTGGCGGGTAACTGAGGGGGGTAAACAATTTCGGTGGACATGATTGGTGTTGGGGAGACAGTCGTAGTAAAGGGTGGTTGATGCGTGTAAGTATAGTTGGCCCAGAGCGCGCCATAGGCGCTTTGCCCGTACTGGCCATCGGGAGTCGCTACAGCAGCAGAGTTGAGGGAGTATGTTGTCTAAATAATATTATCTAGCAGTAATGTAGATGCATGAGAAAACTTCGGTGCGTATGGAGTCGGAATAATGAGAGGTGATGGCAGTGACGTAGGATACCGGTTTGATGTTAACTGCTCGTAAGTAAAGGTGCTGTAAGACCATGTAGTCTCGGCTATGTCCGGTGGAGCGGTGACAGGCGTGGTGACAGACTTTTCGAGGGCCGCAGCAGACCAGCAAGTCACAATCGACATGCCTATGAGGCGTTTGCAGCATGTTACCATCATTGCTATTTGCAAGTGTCTGTACGGGCTGAAAATTCGAAGCAGACTCGTCAAAGCAAGACCATAGAGCTGGAAGCGGCATGGTGTCCCATTTATAGAGTTTCAACTCATAGCCCAGTTTTTGAGAGCCCAATGACATTGAGCAGTCGAAGACCGGATAACCCGAAACTGCACCGCATTTCTTGCTCCTTCATCACGCATCTCGAGCTACTCCCCCGAAACCCCGCATCACGAACGACGATGAGTTGCATTAGCCCCAACCCCACGAATCAGGTATCGCGCTACGCTATTTCTGGATTCCAAAGTCTGGGGTCCGTCCTAGGGTTTCTGAATCTGGCAAATCTGCAGTGGATTTGGCTCCGGTTCGGTTCGGCTCGGAGGACAATTACTATGCTGAAGGTGACATTTTGTGTATTCGCAGAAGCAGGAACACTGAAAGACTAGGCGCGCTAACTGTAGGCAACATAGGGCTAGGAACACCTATAAAAACAACAATTCTATAAACGTTTCTTGTACTCGTTTAAAAACAATGGTAAAGTCAAACAGCTGTACCATGCATGACGTTGTGCCTCTATCAACATCTGTTACTGAACTGATGACTTACGCACTAGGTGCCGGTGCCATATCACAATCAACAGTCCGTTCTACTCAGCTCTTGATCAACGTGACACAGCGCGCAAGGATGGGTACCCGTTTCTCTGTCAACTCAAGTATGTGATAAGTACTGCGGCACACAATCACAGCATTAGATCAGCGAACCGGGATTTATTTGTTAGAGCGGGCCTGGCCAAGTACTATCTGTCGGTGAGTGGCATTCAAAGAACAAGGATCTTAGCAAGATAGGTGCTGGGTTGTGCGGTTTAGCTGAAGGCGACCAATCATACAAAACGATCTTCATATTTTTCGGCTTGGTTGGCTGGCTTGGTCGATTTGATCGTTTTAGTTGAACTGGAATTAACGGGCCATAACACCCTGCTGCGTCAACCTACTCCGTCACCTCAGGCATGCTGGGCTAAGATTGACTCGGCATCAGCGCTACCTAGCTACTCGAGGGTTGGTAGTCCGAACCGGCTAAGGGAAGGCATGCTGTCAAGACAGGGCCAGCAACATCCAAGGCTTCGCGTCCTACGCCGACTAACCATGGTCGGGAACCACGTGGCATCCTGTTCTGAGCACCTTCAGCGGTATATCGTCGCTGCCATGGAACAGAAAGTTCCCATTCTTGTCGTACAAGTCAGCACTTGGCGTAGCGACCAGGCACGGCGTGGAGACGAACGCTAGGTGGCTAAGGATTTGTAAGTAGTCAGCATCAACTACGATGGATAATTCCTGAAGCCTAAGATGCGACTATGAGCCGCCAAACGAATCTTTTGTAATGTATGAACAATTCTTATGTTTAGGGGGTTAAGAGTTCCGTTAGCTGGACGCGCGGCCGTGAGCAGATTCTCTAAGACCACCAAACACATCAAGTAGGAAGCGATGTGCAGTCAAGGGCCGTCTTCCATCTGGGCAGTGTTGGGTCTATTGGTGGATAGAGTCAAAGCAAGGAGGCTGCAGTACCCATAGAACGACTATGAGAGGACTTGGGGCATGTGACGAGGCGTGTCAAATAATGGCTTGGCACAAGCATGACGTGCCGTTCCCTAGGATTCAACATCGTTGGCTTGGAAATGAGGAGGCAGAAGGGCGCTGCAGTCCACACCTTTACTCCTTGCGAATAGCTTCCTCTCATGAAAGGGACCAGCCTGTTTCCCTAGTCTAAAGGAGCAACAGCTACACATCAATAACGGACATCAAGCAGCAGTCAAGGGATCATTGTTGTAGGGAAAACCCCAGGACCAATGAATGGCATTGGCCTGCCGAAGAGATACTCTCGCCGTCCGCCTTCACTGCATGGAATATGGTGGTTTGGAGTTCATGGAGCAACACCTGACCGTGGAATCGAATTACAGGTTGAGACAAGGAGAACATACATGTGGCCTTACCCAGCAAGAGGGGAAATGTCTCTCAACGCGTGATTTCGAGACTGGTCAGACTCCATTTGCTGTTCGACAGTCTGGTCGGAACGGGACGACTTGACATATCAACCGTGCTTTAGGCGAGCGGCAAGCAGCTCGCTTAGCGGAATACACGCCTTTCCATATCAAGCGGTGGCACACATATTTCAAAGCTTGCACTCCAGTTCGGCATTCCGCTTTGTAACAAGATCATGGCTGGAAACATATGAACTTGTTGTTGGGGGTTACCCAGAGGATTGCATCTTTTGCTCTAAAATGTACACGTGCTCTCCCGGTCGTAAATCCTTCCTGCCTGGATATCCTTATGGGTCGGCGTCGCCAGCCTTTCTCGCCTGGATTCATGTCAGTCGTGTATACTCCTTCACTTTGAGATGAACGAAACCTACCCGCACAGCGCTAGCACCTCCCAACTCTCTCTCGAGTCCATCGGGAAATTCTCTGGGGTACGAGGGCTTGTCGGGGTAGTTGGCGGCAACGATGCCGCAGAGGCCAAGGAAGGTAGCGACGAAGGCTCCGATCTGGAGCAAACCCTTGCCGGTGGTGGTCCAGGTGTACTCGTAGGGCGAGAACATGCCGAGCAGGTCGTGGTCCTCGTGGACAGGCTCGCCAAAGTTGCGGCGCTCCTGCTTGTCCCACCAGTCGGCGTGAGGGTCGCGGAACTGTCTCTTGATGAAGGGAGGGTTGATGTAGCCGCCGTTCTGCGCGTCCGAGAGTTAGCCAAGGCATCCGGACCTCTGGTCACCAATTGGGGCGTCACTGACCATGCCGGGGTCCTCCGCGTCGGACAGGGTCGGGTAGTCGGGGTACTTCTCCTCAAGGACCTTGCGGTCGTTGAACTGAGGCGGGAAGAAGGTTCGCTGCTGGACAATGGGAGTTCGTCGGGCGGCCTGGGCGGCGCCGCGGATCGTCGAGACCCGCGCGAATCGTTGGGACAGCATCTACAAGAGCGAGTATGTCAGTGGGCGATTGTTCGGAAAGTCAATTGAGTGTGGGAGTGACGGTACCGTGGCCGAATTGGTGGGTTCCGATGCAGCCCAATTTGCTTAACCGTGAATGTGATGTCGTCGCAGGTCAGAGCAGAGCCGAAGCTGCACTTGGTTGATGATTGCTAGCCAAATCCCTCGACTCTGGTTGGTTGGTGCGAGCAGCTATTTGGCCTGAGGCAGCAAGGCTCAATACTTGTCTGAGGGACCGTCTGCCTGAGGGTGTACATTGTCCGTCGCGAACAACAAGTGGGGCCATACATCGATCCTTGAATCCTGATTTGGCCTACTTGACTGACTGATTCAAGGGACACTGCCAGCGCATTCCAGTTGGTAGCAGCACCGCTCCAATACCGTCACCACTTACCTATGTCCCTAACTCTGGCGTCCCGGGTCTGTTAAGCAGTCTGAGCACCTGGGCCACCACCGTCGACCGCTCAAGTTCTCTTTTCGGCTAGCCCAGGCAAGGCCGGAGCTGCGTCTTTGCAAAAAAATCTATCATCAAACTTTTTGCTGATGACGCTGGATTTGCACCCTTTTTCCTTCGCAGCAGGCCACCCAGACGTGTCATCATGGTCAAACTTCAAACTAGAATTCATTGAGCATTGACGATTCCGTAGACGTTAATTTGGATGCTTCAGATGCCTTGTTCGTCGAGATCACGGCCCCATCTCGCGCCCGCCCCCCGTTGCTATTATGAACAAGACCGCGTCGCCCGAGCCCGCGCATGCAACTCCCGAGGCCATCGACTCCCAACGCGAAGAACAAACCGCGCCGCCCGTTCAATATGACACCGATCCCCCTCATCACCGCTTGAATCCCTTGGATCCGACGATTTCAGGGATCAACTGACGCCCAACGGCAACGACTTCATCGGCTTGGGCCTGCGCTCTCCCACACCACCTCCACGATCATCATCCTCATCCCCATCTCCTCCACCTGCCGTCTCTGCCAACGAAGATGAAGACGAGCGCCCCTCCAAACGACGTCGCGTATCGACGCCACCTGCGCCTGGGTCTGGCCAGAAAAAGAAACACATCTCCCCGCCATGGAAGAAGGTCGCTGCGGACGGTCCGACGACCTTCATCGACAACGGTAGACGGAAGTCTGGTCGCATCAACACAATACCCCTCGAGCTTCATCCGCCATCTGCCAAGCGAATGACACGCGGCGCCCTGCAAAGCAGTCCTCCGTCCAAGAACAAGTATGCGTCAACGAACGGTCATGCGACGACACCTGTACAGAATGGAACATCAAAGACTCCCTCGCGGAAGCCGTCAGCACCGAAGCCCGCGCCGCCGCCCCAGCCAAACCCTCTAGTCGAAAGTCAGTCGCAAACGAGATCAAGTCGACGCGATCGACGCGCAAACGAAGCCCTTCCCCGCATACTCAGCCAACAAGGCAATCTACTCGAACAAGGAGGGGTCGTCGTAGTTCCATCGAAGATGCCACTGCGACAGCTTCCCTGGGCAGCCCGAACCGTTCTCGAATCAAGCTACGCGTACGCACGACTGAGCTTCCCGTCGTTCATCCGGAACAGGTTGGCAAACGCCAAAGGATTGGGCCTAGCTTCGAAGAATACTGGGAAAAGGCACAGACAATACCGGTTGAGGAAGGCGGTGTCTTTGTACCAGAAGATGGACCAAGCTATACAGATGAGATGGCCCGAAAAGACGCACAGGTCATATTACGCGTTGAGGAGGCAGTCGAACCCGGCGGCATTCTCTCACAAGAGCGTTGCTCCTTGTTTGTGCCCGAGGCCGAAGAGGAACCACCGCGACAATGGGCCCATGCAGATCATATGGCCAAGGCCATGGCTAACTTCCGGAAGCTGATGGTCGCAGAGCAGCAGAGGCATCGAGCCCAGGCAAAAAAGATTGCTGAAGCTTGTAGGGATGCCTGGCTTCGGCGCCAACCAAAGTCAGCAGAGGAGCTCGAAGCCGAGGCAAGGCTTATTTGGATTGGACGATACAGGGTAGTGGTCAAGAGCATGTTTGGCACATGGGAAAACGTCCGACACGAGATCAATCGCCGGAGAGTGCAGGAATGGGAAGCTGAGGAACAGCGTCGAGTCAAAGCCGCGCTCCAGCAAGCAGTCAACTTATCAGAGCAGAAGCTGCAGGCACGACGTGCGCAAGCTGACTCTGACCTGTCTGATGAGGACGACCTGGATGACGACGACGACCTTGACGACCTTGATAGTGACCTGGACAACAGTCAAGCCATGTCAGTAGATGCGGATGATGACGATTCGGGCAACGAGAATGATGATGACATGTCATCTTCAGAAGAAGAGGAAGCAGGCGAAGATCATACTGGCGACACCGGCGACGAAATGCTCACGCAAGAGCAACTGGTTGCAAAATACGCCAATCTGCCGGACCTGTCTCCTGATGAACAGGTCGACAGCAAGCTCGCCAATGGAGTAGAATCGACTGCAGACTCTACAGCAGCCGGTACCGGTGCTGGTGACGATGATACCAGCGATGAGTCTGTCGACATGGACGACGATATGGGATCCACTGATATGGACGACACCGACGAAGGTTCTGAAGTAGGCGAAGAGTCTGAAGAAGAAGAAGAAGACGAGGATGAAGAGCCTGCGGGACTTCTAGGGATGCTCTTTGGGAAGTCCGAGTTGAAGAAAATCAAGAATGAAGCGCAACCCGAAAACGGGCAGGTCAACGACAGCGATACCCCACTTCCAACCACTTCTGCGCCGTCTCCAAACGCCGAGGCCTCGTCTAATTTTAGAGAAGAAGTGGTCGAAGACGAAGACGAAGTATCGTTGATCCAGCACCCGGGTGTTTTTATGAACAGCGATGGAATGGAGATTGACGATTCAACACAAGCGAATGAGGTTGCACTTTCGACTGAGGCCATGAGCGATATGGTTAATGGAGGCGACGAAGTGATTCCCGAGAAGCAGACAGATGCACCGGCATCGCCACCCAGAGCAAATCAAGAATCTATCACTGGTGAAGAGAAGATGACGGAAGCAGCTGAGGCCGCGGAAACACCTGCTGCAACAGATGTATTGGACGCACCCGTCGTCTCGGAAGACGTGGAAATGGCAGATGCGCCGCCAAAGTCAGTGGATACTCAGGACCCCGCTCTGGTATCTGCTGCTTCTGCAGTTGCGGCAAAACATGTCAGCCCTGATACGGACATCGTTACCGTTCCTCCAAGCCCCGAGCAGAGCCACTCACCACCTACATCCGACACCAAACCCTCGGAGGTGGATACGATGTCTCTAGCGACACCAGGTGTTAAAGATCTTGTCAGTCGATCAGCCTCGCCACACCAACAACAAGATCAAAAGACCGAGATCCCTTTCCTTCTCCGCGGAACACTACGAGAATACCAACACGATGGTTTGGACTGGCTTGCTGGACTGTATGCGAACAACACCAACGGCATTCTCGCAGATGAGATGGGTCTTGGCAAGACAATCCAGACCATTTCGCTTCTCGCCCACCTCGCGTGCCATCACGAGGTCTGGGGCCCGCATCTTGTCATCGTACCAACGAGTGTGATGCTGAACTGGGAGATGGAGTTCAAAAAGTGGTGTCCTGGCTTCAAGATCCTGTCCTATTATGGAACACAAGAGGAGAGAAAACGTAAGCGACAAGGCTGGAACAATGACGACGTGTGGAATGTGTGCATCACATCGTACCAGCTTGTCATTCAAGATCAGCAGGTCTTCAAGCGCCGACGGTGGCACTACATGATCCTCGACGAAGCTCACAACATCAAGAATTTCAAGTCACAGCGCTGGCAAACCTTGCTTGGATTCAACACCCACTCCCGGCTTCTTCTGACTGGTACCCCACTTCAGAACAACCTCACTGAGCTATGGTCGCTTCTATTCTTCTTGATGCCCGCCGAAAACGGCGTCGGTGGCTTTGCAGATCTACAAGAATTTCATGACTGGTTCCACAAGCCTGAGTCCCAGATCCTAGAAAACGGCCGTGAGACTATGGACGAGGAAGCTCGTGCCATCATTTCCAAGCTGCACAAGGTTCTGAGGCCGTATCTCCTCCGGCGACTCAAGGCAGACGTTGAGAAGCAGATGCCAGCAAAGTACGAGCACGTGGAATTCTGTCGCCTGTCAAAACGCCAGCGCGAACTCTACGATGGCTTCTTGGCTCGCACCGACACCCGCGAGACGCTATCCTCGGGCAACTACCTTTCAATCATCAACTGTCTCATGCAGTTGCGGAAGGTCTGCAACCACCCTGACCTGTTTGTCGATCGCCCAATCATGACATCTTTCAGAATGCAGAAGTCCGTCCCAGCAGAGTATCAAGTCACGGACCAGTTCTTGCAGCGGTCTCTACTTGCAGTAGAGCCAATGTCCATGGTCAGTCTAGGGGTGCTCAACATGATTCCAACGCAGCATGAGAACATGTCCAACACGACAGCAGAGCGGATTTCGCAGCTCAGTTTGCATAGGGTACTCATGGAGTTGCGGGAAGCTCAGAACACCAGAGCACACCTTGCCCGCACAAACCTTGACCCATCGACAGTCCAATCAAACATCATGTACCTGGACAGCCTCGCTCGATGGCGTCGTTTCGAGGAGCTACAGCACAGTGTCTACCTGAACGCCCTTCGCGGCCAACGTCGGCCCATTTACGGCAAGCGCTTGATCGACTTTTTGACTCTTGGGCTGGACACTCGACCTCGAAAGCCCAAGCCAAGGGTCCCCAATCAAATTTTGAACTGGTTCGCAGAAGATTCCGACTTCCTTCGTGCTGTCATTCATAGTGCAGATGAACGAGCCGATTCGATGCAGACGACCATCCAGAAGTTCGCCTGCGTCACGCCAGCCGTGATTACTCGCGACATGAACGAGGTCGTCCTGGGTAGAAAGGCTGCACAGGCCTTCACGGACGAAGATCTCAAATTGTCTGCGCCAGTTCGATGGGCCCCCTTTATGCCGAAGCAGGCGCCTATCGACCCGTGGCATGAGTCCCGCATGCGTCTCAGCATCCAGTTCCCTGATAAGAGACTGTTGCAATACGACTGTGGAAAGCTTCAAGCTTTGGACAAGCTCCTTCGCAAGCTCCAGGCCGGCGGCCATCGTGCTTTGATCTTTACGCAGATGACCAAGGTACTCGACATTTTGGAACAGTTCCTCAACATCCACGGCCACAAGTACCTCCGCCTCGATGGTGCGACTAAGATTGAGCAGCGACAGATTCTCACCGACCGGTTCAACCACGACCCAAGGATTCTTTGTTTCATTTTGTCGACGCGTTCGGGTGGTTTGGGAATCAACCTAACTGGCGCGGACACAGTCATCTTCTACGATCAAGATTGGAACCCAGCCATGGATAAGCAATGCCAGGATCGATGCCATCGTATCGGCCAGACTAGAGACGTGCACATTTACAGGCTCGTCAGCGAGCACACAATCGAAGCCAACATATTGCGCAAGGCGTCCCAAAAGCAGATGCTCGACGACGTCGTCATCCAAGAGGGTAGCTTCACTACGGACTATTTCAACAAGCTATCCGTGCGCGATGTTCTCGGCACCGAAGGGAACGATTTGGTCGACGATGCTGCTAATGCCGCTATGGACCGTCTTCTGGGCGGAGTCGACAGCGGGCCTTCGAGAAGTGTGGGCGAGGACCTGAAGCAGGCCGAAGACCAGGAAGATGTGGAAGCCGCCAAGGCCGCGGAGAAGGAGCTCCAAGAAGATGACGCCGAGTTTCAGGAAAAGAGTGGGGCGCCCTCGGGGGCCTCCAGCACCCGGCAGGGCACGCCGCGTGACGACATGGCCGGCCAGGCGGCCGGCCCCGGCCCCTCGGGCTTGGGCCGATTCTCGGAGTCTGTTGCCCCGGACGAGGCCGCGGCGGAGACCGAGCACAACGCTTGGGGCGAGCGGATGCGCAACATTGACGAGTACATGCTGCGGACAATGGCGGAGCAACTCAAGGGCACAGCGCTGGATCTACCCAAGGACAAGAAGAAGAGCAAGAAGAAAGGTCGGGACACACGCAAGCGGTAGGCGGGCGTGTTGTTTCATTATTACCACCACAGTACCTAGTGTTTTTTTTTTCTTCTCTCCTTTTTTTGTGTATCATATGGTGGGGTACGCATCGGAACATAGGACGGTCTCGAGTATGATTAGACCTTGCATGTATAACGGAAAACGGCGCCTTGGGGGACAGCCGTGGCATGGAGTTTGAAAAGGGGGGGGTCGTCGGTTGGCGGCAGAGGCCCCTCTATGGAGCATAGACACGGACAAAGTAAAATAAGATAAATCTCCAAGCATTGGCATCTTCTCGAGCCCGAATTCGTGATTGAACTTTCCAATTTTCTCTTCATCATCATTACAGTACTGTCAGGGATTCACTGCTCAAACTGACGCCACAGAGTCCGCCGCCCCCTTTCTCGCAGCTTCCTCGCCCCACGCCCTGGCCTCCCTCTTCAGCTCATAGCTCACATACAAAAACGCCGCAACAGCCCACAAGCCCGCCCACACGAAGGGCAACGACCAGCCGATGACGTACGCGACGTCGCCGCTCATGGTGAAGATCAGGGCCGTGCACAGTACGGCGCACGCCTCGGCCCCGACGGCCCAGAAGATGCCGAGCCGGCGCAGCATAGCACGGAAGACGTGGCTCGCCTCGTAGCGCCTGTCGAGGGCGACGCGGAACTCGGTGCCTCCCGAGCCGTCGACGGCGCAGATGTCTTCGATGAGGGAGTAGATGCCCGGACGCAGCTGGGCGCCCTTGGGGATGGAGGAGATGCGGCAGGGGGCGGAAACGCGGAAGGCGCGGCTAACGTCGACGAGCAGGAGCTCGGTGCCGAAGACGAAGAGCATTGTGGTGACAGGCATGGAGAGGAGGCGGATGGGAGGATGTTCCGGCACGGTGCCGCTGGGGTATGGTGCATTAGCAGCCGTACGGGAGGGGGGAATGGGGAGCCGGGAGGGGACTTACACGATGAGCTCGATCATGATGATGATCCACGCAAAGGAAAAGTTCCAGTGAAACCAGTCGAGATACCACCGGTGCGCGCCAATGACACGGCACGTGCTGCCCTTGCGCCAAAGACGCCAGAAGCGGAGAAAGTACTCGACGATGCTGGCGCCGCCGACAGCGGCAGTGACGATGGAGAAGACGGCGTTGGGGCTGAGCTTCTCCTTCTTCTCGGTCGGGGTGTTTGTCCCGGGCCCCACGCCGTACCAGAGGCCGAAGTACAGGGCGATCGGCATGGCGATGGAGTCGAAGAGGATAAGGGCCCAGAAGAGGAAGATTGCCATCTTGCGGGTGCGGAGGGTGTAGTTGAGCGGCGGGGGAGTCGGCTGGAATGCCGGTCTGCCGGGGGTGCCGCCCGGGCCTCCCGCTGCGGCGTCAATGGCCTCATGAATTGCCTCATCGGCCGTGCCGGGATGGATGGAGGAACGGGTCGGCGATCGGGAGCTGCGACGGGTCATGGCCAGGCTGGGCCGGCCGAAGGGGCCGTCATAGCGGCGGTCAAAGTCATGGCTCTGGCGGGTGATTCGCTTCGATGTACGCGGGGGGGTCGCATCGTGGTGCGGTGCCGATTTAGGGCGTTGAGCTGCGTCGAGATGGTCTGGCATGCTCTGAGACTTCTCGTCCAGGGCGTGGTCTTCCCGCGCATCGAGGACATTGGGGGTACGCCCGCGCAGGTGTGGTTGTTGACCAGTGACATGAGGAGCAGATGCTGCGGGTCTTTGGGATTGGGTTATTTGCAAGCTGTGACGGCCGAACGTCGTGGGGTCTCTGTGTTGAGTGTTATGGTGTTCATCTTTGGACTCTCGAGGTCGCGGGAGGACCGGAGTCGCGGGGCTGTTGGCCCCGGTAGCATGTTTCTCGTCCATGGTGTTGGATGAGAGCTGAGGCGTCTTCAGGGCTCAAGATGAATATGGTATACTACGAGTGATCGAGGTCAATTGAATGGAAGATGAAAGAAGCACGAGGCCCATCTCATAGAAAGACGGATCATAGCTGGATCTCATAAGGAGGAGGAGGTTAGTTGAGTATTAAGTTGAGCAGGTGTAGCAAGTGTCGCGTCGCCAAGGCTCAGACTGGGAGACGATCATGACTTCCCGGGGCTTCCAGCGAACAGTCGCTAGTATTGGCACAGATCGATCAACAGAAGAGCAAATCGAAAGAGGCCAGACAAAGGGTCCAGAGCATCATTGTGGGCTGCGGGATGTGGTGACATGCGTGGCATGGGTGGTCCCAGAAGCACAGGCTCCGCCGGGCATGATGTCAGAATGAACCCTGTGGCGAACCCCCCAAACACTTCCGCTGTGTTTCCCTACGACGATAGCATCAGTAATTGGATTCCGAGTCTGGGTCCTTTCCAGGGGTCCATGTCCGATGCAATGCAGGGAGAATGTTTGTATGCGGGAGGAAACAGACGTCAATGCTTTTACTTACTCTTGCCCGCGCCCCAAAAAGCGTGAGGATGGAAGTCGCATTATATGATGATGCTAGGCAGTCGACGTTGCTTGGAGACTTTGCGTGTGCCGAGTCGGTGCGTGGCGTTGCGGGATGAACCCGACAGGGACATGGAGGGAAAGAGGAAAGAGATCACAGGCGGTGGATAAGATAAGCTCTGGCCAAGCGTCCCCCGCCACGGCCTGTCGCTTGTTCCTCAGTCTGCTGATGTTGCCCGAACCTTCTCCGCTTAGTCATGCACTGCTGCCCGCACAGTAACAAACACCGTGCTCCGGTTCCCAGTGTCCCAAGTCATCATCCGACGCCTGCGAGACCCCTCAGCGATGCTGAAGTCGGAGGGGCCTAGGGCGCCGCTCAGACAGAGTTTTCCAATGCCGGTGGCCTGATGCAAGGCGTTAACAAGGTCTCACTTGGCCCCCAACATGGTCCAGTCCACAGCATAGAACTTCATATTGGTTGGCGCAATCAGCTCCTGCAAGGTCCAACCGCGGGTGAACCAACGGCTTTTGCGAAAGTGGCTATCTGGGTCCCCGTAATTCACTTTGATGTCATGCGGAGAAACATCAGTCATGTAGACGTAGCATATATCAGCCCCTCGGTACCAATTGAACATGGAGTTGATGGACTCGGGCAGCTCTGCGGAGCTGGCCTTGTCGATGCAGTTGGTGTCAACCCACGCATAGCTGTATCCGTCCGAAAGTGCCTCTTGGCAAGTTGGTCGATTCTTGAAAAAGACCCCTCTTTTTAGTCCTGATTTCGTGGCTGTTCCAATCCTGCAATATTATTTCTCCATCCTTCCAAGTGTGGGATAAGATGGCGTATGGTGGAACGAGGGTATGATCAATAAAGTCTTTCAACTTCAAGGTCCTAGTGTTGATGAGACGCATGGCTAGATCAACTAGGCGGCCACAAGGGGCGCACGGACTCCACGCCAAAAGAGGAGAACCAAGCAATGTATCTGTGTGATGGTGGCTATCATGAGCTTTCAGGGCCTGAAGGAGGCCTATATGTCCGGGATGAGGTCATGTCGTGGGCGTCTCACTGTGTCACTACTCGACTCGAGGACCAGGCGTACTGTCTTCTTGAACTTTTCGGAGTCAATATGCCCCTTATCTATGGTGAAGGCCATAAAGCTTTCTTGAGACTGCAGGAAGAGATCATCAAGACTTCAGATGACCAAAGTATCTTCGTTTGCGATATAGAAACCTTGGTCATGACATCCCCTTTGTCCACGAAGCCTGCCCTCTTTTCTCGCTCCATAGGGATCGGGCGTTTTTCTCGGGTGGCGGCCCCCATGGCAACACTCCCGTCATCCTACTCCATCACCAATGCTGGACTTTCAATCACGCTACCGCTCATTGAGACGCTTTCGCCCAGGTTCGTTCTGGGTGTCCTGAACTGCCGCGATCTTTCAGGGTAGCCGAGCGGCCCCATATGCATTCCGTTGTCATCTCACGTGAGCGATTACCGACATCAGTACACACAAGTATCTCTGCCCGCTGCCTGGGTCTCACTGAGTTCGGCCTCAATCTGGCCCCTACTGCCTTTGTACGAAGAGAACGCCGCGCATGCTTAAAATTGGTCATCAGATTTTATCCCTGATGAGCCTACAAGCATCATAATCTCTGGGCCGCACAGAAATGTTGACAGTAGCATAACTCAACGTATACTTAGCCCCGTGCAGCGGATGGGTGCCAGGGCCTAAGTGCCATTTAATGAGCAATTTGCACGGGGCCGTTCAAGCTGGGTCGGGGATGTGATGGTAACTGTCAGGACGGCGACAGCGATAGAATCCTCACATCTACGAGGAACTTCCGTTGTATTTTTAGCAGAGATCATTTTTGACATGAGCCAGTACATAAACGCACGTGGCCGCAAAGGACCTATGAGTGGTTCTATTCTTTCTGCCCAGTACAGCTTGATGCTGAGGGATTCGGATGAATCAGGCAGAGCATAACAGACCGGGCAATAATTTACCCAAACACCACATTCTCAACATCAAGAATCAAAACGATGAGCATAGAAGCATATATCAAGTTTGAAGTTCAAATTCATTTCAAGAGATTCCGCAGCGCAGCTGCTCTGGCAGCTCAGCTGGCTCTCCATTTACCGGCTATCAATACACCTCAAAGAAACGAACACGCTAGTAATCTTCATATAATCGTCAGATGCCCCAGGATGAACCCTATCCTCTCGTACTAATGTCAGACGACATTTAGGCAATGACCTCAGCGTGGAACTGCTCTGCGGCACCAGCGGGCGCGGCGGGGGCAGCGGGAGCAGCGGGAGCAGCGGGCGCGGCAGGAGCGGCGGCGCCGGGGGTACCATCGGAGAGCTTCTGGATACCACCGTCCAGAGAGGTGGTGACCTGGTCAACCGATTGCTGGGCGATGCCCTGGCCGATGGCGGGGATCTTGGAGACGATAGCGGTGCTGAAGTCACCGGCAACGGCCTTCTGCTGCTTGAGCTGGTCAACGGCGACGGAGGTGACCTGGAGCTTGTCGAGCTCGGGCTTCTTGGCGACGAGGTCGTCGACAACAGTCTGAACGGCAGTGGTCAGGCCGCCGGCAGACTGCTGAAGGGTGAGGGCATCGCCGATGGAGAGCTCCTGAGCGCCCTGAATCTGAGTGGTACCCTGCTTGAGCTGGGCCTGGACCTTGTTGGAGGCCTCGAGAAGGTTGGCGGCGGTGTTGGTGTCGGAGGCGCTAAGAGCCTGTTTAAGATCGGGTTAGTCTGGAATAAATAAACAAAGGGACTGGTGTGCATTTGGTAGTTTACCTTGACAGTGGTGTCGAGCTGGCCGAGGGAGTCCTGGACGTTCTTGAGGGCACCCTGAATGGTATCGAGTTGACGCTTGCTGTTGAGAGAAGCGGGCATGGCAATGGCGGAGCCGGCAAGCAGGACGAGCACGTTGGTGAAATGCATCTTGATTGTTGGTTGATAAGCTGAAGCTTTAGATGGTGATATGCTGGTTAAATAGAAGTAAAGTTGTTTGATGTTTGTTTTTAAGCTGAGAGTGTTGGGTGCTGATGAGATCAAAGGAAAGAGTCACTGAGAGCAGGAAAGTCCACGGCTTAATATACCGACTTTGACGCATTGCGAACGAGGGAAATCAGTATTCCGCGACTGCACGAACTATTCATCCGAACCGCTTCAGTCCACGGCCATGAGGCGCCGGAAACCGTACGACTCGTCACCCTGCGTCCTCGGGATCCAGTCGCGATGCGCAAAACCGATGTCCTCGCAGCCGCCACTATGGAAAAGATGTCAACTACCGCCCATAGCTACCGCACTCGGAGCCTTGGGAGCCTAATCCGGCTTGTGTTGTAGTCATGGCGCGAGGACGTACCCTTGAAACACGCGCAGGTGGTTATCCCGTGCGAGGTGCGGTTCGGTCGACTCAAAAGGTGCCACGGCTTTCTCACCTTCAGACGAAACAAAACGCCAAGTCACGGACCCTATTCAGAGCCGTCCTTTTCTTCCAGTGTCGGCACAGGAGGATACGATGATGGGCTTTCACTACGAGCTTGCATGGGGACCCTTGGGATCAGAGAGGTGATCCCTTCTATTTTCGGCTCTCCGAATGGGTGGTGTTCGCCCACTGCGGTGTGTGCGTTCACTATTGCTTGTCCCGGGATATGGTCGGTTGTCGCGAATCACACCGACGCCGTTCGGATGGCACATGGTGTGATCGAGGTTTGACCCCCGTATTTGTCAATATCCAAAAAGTACTGTGTTCTTAACGCACCAATCGCAATGGGTGAAAGGGGGACTGAAAGCCTGGTGTTTTCTCGATGCAGATGGATACCACCTGCATTCCTTCCCACACTTGCAGGCATAATGCTGTCTGCAACCTGTCTGGCTAACGTCCAGGATCTCTCTTTCGAACCAACGCAATAAGCTTACCTGCGTTCTTTTGCAGATCTGGGGGCTAGCTCGTGGCGCAGGTTATGTTAACTTCACTCCTGCAGGACCTCGAGCACACTGGGTGCGGGAACGCTAATACCGAGCACTTCGGGGTGTTCCGCCTGCACATCTATGTATCATTAGCCTCTAGTTCTTAGCTAAACGGAATAGCGCCAGACAGAGCTGTCACGGGCAAAAGATCTGTTACCTGCAGGGCAACACTAGTGCGGCAATCAGTGTCATCATGCGTCGGCGTGCAGACGCCCCAGGCGCACACGAGCCCTCACAACGACATCAACACTAGCGATGACCGTGGCGACGACATTCGGGTGTTTGCCAACCACTCAAAAGTTTACGCACTCGGATTCGACTCAGCACGCCCCATTATTGGTTGCTCGTTGAGACGGTGACACTGTTGACAAATGGTGTACGCCAGATGTCAAATCACCGCAGATACCATCTATCGCCCAAAGGTCAGTGTCATTCGCGCCTGGGCTAGGACGTCCAGAACCGGAGACCTGTCACCAATCCGATGCTGCGTCTGGTGCAGGGGTGGCTGAGTCGGATGGGTGATTATCCTCACAGTGACACAAGGGTTCAATCTATCATCATCGTGACGGTGGCGCATTGTGGCCCTGCCAACGGCTCGGTTCGTCGGGCGCCTTCAGCTCAGCTGGTGCCATGTCAAAGAGCAGGCATCGAGGGCCAAGAAGTGGCCCTCGGAGCGGAAGGGATGCGGGTGAGGCAGCTGGCACCTCTCACTTCATGTCCTGGCCTCATACCGTGTCTGGTGTTGTCAAACAAAACGGAGCGCTGTGCTCCTCACGGTCACTCCATCACATCCTGGCGAATGACCGAGACCGAGCTGGCTCAGACATCAGGTTTGTTACATCCGATATCGACGTGTTTTCCTATTCTAAAGTCCCTGGGCTTGTTGGGGTTTTGCAGTCCGGACCCTGACGAGATCGGACCTCGCAGAGGGAGTCCTTGCACTTGACAGACAGTACCAGGGGCGCGAATCGTCCCACAATCGCTATACTCTAGTCCGGAGTTCTAAGCTTTGGGAAGATAATTTTTTCAAGCCGAGAATTTCCTAGAAGGGTCGTCTGGAACCCTCGTCGTCGGATGTCACCTAATCCGGGTACGTCTCTTTCGCATAGGCAAGAGACGTTTTGAGATCATGTCGTTCCCCATGGTGGGGCGGTGAGGTCTGGGGTATCTCGGGCATCGTCCACTTTTGGTGAAGCGGTGATCCGACTGGGTGGATCTGCTGTTGGCTTCCACTCTGAGAGGATGATTGAGGCGGTGATTTCAATGTATCCAAATAGGCTCATTCCGAAGATTAGTGGAGGAGATGATTTGAATTTACACCTGTTACCAGTGGCAAACCGCCTTTGGCTCTCTACTGGTAGAAAATGGTGTCGATCTTGACAGCATCCAAAAAAGTATATATCCAACATGAGAAGAACGGAGGATGATCCGTATTCATCAATGAAGTCAAATCTATAAGGTCTCTTCCAAGCCTTGTCTCGTAAAAAATGACCGTTGTGCTCTTAGTCATATCAACCGTCCGCCACACCCGCATTGAATATTTCACCATCACCCGCCCGACGTCCTTCGCAGGCATGCAGGACTCCAAAAGTCCCATCCACTGTTTTCGCAATTTTTACAACTTCCAGACGAACCCTCCGGCCCATCTTTACCTTTTTTCCGAAGAAGTCTGCATACGATGAACCCTGGTCATAGCCTTCGGCCCTTCAAAGGTAGGTTATCGCGAGAGTACGGATGGATAAAGGGCCCGAAAGCAAGTGACGGAGAGTCAAACTCAACCAAACAGGTACCACTGCGAGTGCGACTTCTTAGAGTTCACCCACTCGCATTCGCAGTCGGAATTCCTGGTGGGTCCGCCTCTGACGATGCCGATATCAAGTTGTTCTAACTCACTTGATGGTCCATAATGCGATGATTTTTATGCCAGGCCAAGTTTGCTGCCTCTACTTCCCTCTGGGGCTCTATCACACAGTAAACTATTTTACAATTTACATGAAGCTTGCCGATTGTAGTTGTACGCATACACCCTTGTTCCAGAGGTCGCACTCCGTCCGAAACGAGTCTCGCGATCCTATGCTTTGTTATGATGGATATTGTTCGAGTTAACCGCCTTGTTTCCTTAAAGTGATCTGCTTCAACATTTTCAAGATCTCAGCTGGTTGCCCATCGCCCCGTCTTAGTAACATGTTATAGTGTCAATTCAGTAGTCACATACCTGGTATATCCTTGGCTGAACAGTTTTCAAGCTAGAAGATGACCGGGTTATCTTTCCTTTGTTAGGTAAATCATATTATCATGAGGAATATTTTGTATCTTTTGGCCAGCAATTAAGCTTTAGTTTCTTCAATACGGTGCAGATAGAAGATAGCTCATGTAGCAACAATCTTCAACTTTATAAATACAACATTGGTGGAGAGTTTGAGTTAGTGTATAAGGAGGCTGAACAGCTAGTCGATAAGATTCGAAGACATGAAATCAAGGGTAGCAAGAACACACATGAAAATGAGCGAAGTTCATAAGCTATTGTCTAATCGTCTGGTTTCTACGTCTGATTTCCACTTTCCTCTGTTTATTCAAGTAGGTACAATTAGGGTTAAAAATCCCTAACCCATGGGGACCCATGGGTACCCAGATGAATGGGTTGGGTGAATGGGTCAACCCATGAAATGGGGGTTTTGGGTTTTGGGTATTTGGGTATTGTTTTTTTTGGGTATGGGTATGAAAAATCCCCATACCCAAATGACAAGATAAGAATGGGTTTATGGGTTGAGAATATTTGCTGTATTTTCTGCTTAGTACTTGACGGATACCCATAATACCCATATCCAGAAAACAGAAATCCCCATTTGGGTATAACCCAAAAACCTATACCCATAATCTTGAAAAAAACCCATAACCCATATGGGCCCCAAAAGAATCCCATGGGTCAAATGGGTACCCATGGGGATTTTTAACCCTAGGAACAATGGCATGTAACTGACGGAACTGTTGAAAACCAGAATATGCACAACGGAAAATGATGTGATATAACGCGAGTAAATAATACCTGCTCATTCATGTACAACTCTCATCGTGATAATCTCAGAGACATCTCAACATCTTGCGAACATAACATTCTCTGCCCTTTAGGATTGGGCCTGTGGAGCTGCCTGCTTTGTGATGTTCTATATTCAGGCTTTCAAAAGGAGTGGATCCCCAACCACTCCCATAATGCTAAGGGAATACGTGAAGGCAATGAAACTGGACTGCTACTAATCTGACTGGTTTTGAGGTCCATAACTCAGAATGACAACGTCACGGGATATAAGACGCCATTGCTGTCTGGCAATTGTGGTTCCAATTTTGTTGTCACAGATAACCTGGTTACGATATGCCATCATAGTGGTGAAGTGTGTCTGAAAGTATTGTACGATTGTGTATTGCAAATATATTGGCAAGACTCTCTCGTTAATCCCAAGGATGCCTTTTTTGAAAAAAGAGGGGAAAGTCCAAGTGCACCTCATCTAATAACGAATAAGCTGGACAGGGCAGGTTTGCAATTGTCTGAAGCCATCAAATCCCCCTTGTCTGGCTACATACGGCATAAGGGATAATCGCAATCGGGACGGCTAGTCTACAGCATACTGACTTGTTCGAGAAGCATGTCCCCTTTTGGATTACTTGGTTACTACCGAGATGAAGATATATCACACAGTTCAAGTATTCTCCGCGTGTTGGAAAATTTGTCCTTACATCTAGATTAATGTAACGAGAAAGGAACTCATAGGAATATTCCAATGCTCTAAACCAGTTTCTTTACAATAATGACGCAAGTGGCTTGTGTTAAATCCGTAAAGTAATGCCTGGATAGAGTTTTCGAGCCACAGTTATGAATGAGCTGAAAGATTCAATGTGGGCAATTATGTCAGAACTAATAAGAACAATTGCCATAATATTTGTAGATAGAAAATATACACAAGATACGAATAGCAACAAATGAGGGGACAAGAATTAAATTTTGTAGTCGAAACAGTTTCCTCGATACATATCAGCCAATTGGACCAGCTTGTTTTTTAAGTATTGAATTGATCCTAAAGAAACTCTCTTTCGTGAGTCTAATAACCACGTCTCGTGGATACCACGAATACCCACCCAATATTAGTTACAAAAAGAGACATTACATAACGCCGACATACCAGCGAAAATGCTACTAATTCACTCCCCGTCACCGTTCAAAGAAACATGAGCATAATAACAACTTTTGAGACACCCGAATCTGCCAGCCGCAGGCAATAGACTCATGCAAGTGTTCAAGCCGCAACATCTCATCTCGCTAATGAGACCTCGTCTCTAAGCGGTTCAGAGCCCGTTGCTGGGCCCAGCGGCACCGAGGTGCCCATGCTCGCCACCATGCTGGCCAGGATGGATCTTGTTCTGTCCTGGCTCGCGAATGTGCAGACCTAGAGCTGCGGGGTCGATGTTCCTGTGTCCCCAGAGGAGGAGTAGCCCAAATACAGGCTTAGCCATCACGTCCAGGATGCCGTAGAAAATGGCCTCCGAGTCCGGGTGGATGATGTTGCCGCCCTCGCTAACGCCCCAAGCGATCGGGTACAGGAACCACAGGAAGATAGTCAAGACACCGCAGTTGCGGTAGGTCGAGCTGACTTGCCCGCCGAGCGCCGCGGCATGCCGGCGCCCGTCAATGACGAGCGCATAGACGACGTAGAAGAAGGCGAACATGCCGAATACCCAGTAGCCCCACTTGTAGCTCGTGCTCGTGAGGGCGCCAACGAGGCCCGTGACGATCATGATCTCGTCCGCGAGCAGGGCGATGAGGATGCTGGGCCAAGGGAGCCCAGCGGTGAGGAGCAGGTCGAGCAGTAGCAGCGGCGTGGTGATGAACCAGTCAATGTACCGCACGTAGAAGATCTCGCGTGTGCCAACGCCTCCAGGGCCGAGAATGTCGTTGTTGCGCGGGAACTCAACCTGGATGGGCACGCGCCCAAGACCGGCGCCCATGGAGAAATACGCTATGCAGGCGACGAAGGTGATGGAGGCTGTGATGTAGTGGAAGAGACGGTGTGTCTCGCGCTTGGTGAAGCCCATGCCCAAAAAGACGAGGGTCGAGACGGCCATGATGGCGCAGACGGCAAAGTACCAGTCCGAGGCGCGCGTCGAGATGCCCAGGTCGGCCTGCTGGCCGACGCGGGCGTTGGTGTTCAGGGCTTGGTTGCCTGACATTTTGGCGGTTTTTTTTCTTTTGGCTCAGTCAAGTGCGTCGAAGCTGACGGGTATCAGAGTAACGATTGAAGCCGGGCACAGCTCTGATATCTACCAGATGTTGATGGCTAACTGTGACTGAGATGCCGAGATCAAACGAAACGGGAGAGGAAGGGGGGCTTGAAACTAGCATTATATCCCATCTCTTGTCTCTCGACAGCTTCAGTCTTAGCCCCAAGCTAACGCGATTTCAACAGCCCCTGCCGGTTGATCCGCATCTAGCCCTGTCGCATGACTTCATGGAACTTGTAAAAGGCGAGAAAAGGTAAGGTTGAGATGGCCATGAAATCCGGATGACGTTTAGACTCGAAACCACGACCGGCCGTGAGCCGCAGATGATAGGCGATAGGTCGGTCGACGATGGGCTAAGGGGTCGCCAACACCACCATCTCGTTGGCAGCCGTAGCTCGATGGTGGACCGAAACCAACCGCTGACACCCTCTCAGATGAGACTCGACCAAACGCCAGCCAAGACGGACACTACAGATGGGGTCGAAAGCTTAGCTGGCGCCGCATTCCCTGTCCATTGCCAGGCATCGCTAACGAAATTTTTGAATCACATTGCAACGCAAAGGGATTTTTCTGCTCCGCTTCAGCCTGGGAAGCGGGGTCCGGCGAATGGGATGGGTCGCGTCGACTCTCAGACCACGCAGCTCCGTGATGAATCCATGACGACGAGAGTTAATCCAGACCTCCCCCGGTATCTGGTCGCGAAGCGGAGGAAACAACAACTGTACCAGGCGGCGAACGCGAGAATGACCCGGTCTGGCTGGATTGTCCGGGCCATTTCCACTAGGGTATTGTTTGTAAGTGGCTAGCGACACAGGGTAATAATGACAAAGCCCCAAGCGTACGAAGAAATGCGCAAGAGGAGGAGGAAAAAAAAAGGACGTCATGTCGATGAAGTCACCACTTTCACCCAGCTTTGCGCCGGGAGCTAACGCGCAGTATTCCCGGCCCCACCTGCCCGGACCTAGCGCCGGCAAACGAACATCAAAGAGTGATGTCTGCAACAATTACAAATGCCGAACAACAACTTGGCACTGCTGCAGGCAAAACGACACTAGCCGTCCACTTTTCTTTGATCCAAACGGCCCAACGGCCGGCTAGATGAGTTTGGAAACTCCCTGAGAGCTGTCACGGACGCAGAAAAGCAAAACGGCCTCCCACAAGGCCCCTCGATCGCCAAGCCATGTGCCCGATCTGTACCGCATCCACGAAGTCTCTTACCCTTGTGTCAAAAAAGGTCTGGTGACCGCACGCTGAACAGTTGCGGTTCGCACTAGGTCGTTGATCTCCTCCAGCCGAACTTGCGCCTGAAAGTTCCTTTCCATTGAGCGGGGAGAGTTGGCCAAAGTGTTGCGGCCCATCCTTGCCATCGACTTCCAGATGGTCATGTCCATTGCGGTCCCCTTGGCCCAGGCTTTCCACTCTTCTCCACGCTGGCATGGCAGTCCAATCGTATCCAGACGGACCACGCGTGGGCGGGCCAGCACACTAGATTGACTGGGGAGAAAAAGTGCCTGAGCACCTCCGAACCTCCGAGCGCTGCTTCGTCCCATGTCGTCATACGGCCAACATCAACTGATGGGGAATTTGCCGCCAGTTCTGGTGTCGTTCTGGTTCGCGCTCAAGGTTTCTATGCAACCATGAAATCATCCTGACCAACCGCAGGCTAGGAACTACTCTTCACCATGGATACACACCTCGGCTTGCGGTGGCATGGTCCGACAGGTCCGCATTGCGCAGTTGCTCCGGAGGATAAACTAGGCATGACAGCCTTTAGCCTTCTGCTCTTGGTCTGCCCAAAATTCGACGCCGCCTCCTGATCGCCATGGATGAGAGCCGCATGCCTTGAGACAAAGTGTCGCGTTACCAAACATTACTTCTCTCAACATCAAACATGGCTGTTGATCCTCTCACCGAAGAGGCAACGGCAGTCGAGAGTCGTCATCCGTGAGTATCCATCTTTTCCCTCACTCTCATATTTCAAGTTGACTGACAATTGGGCAGCTACCTGTCCGGCAACTTTGCGCCAATACAGTCATGTCTGCCATTGACTCCATGTTCGTATGAGGGCACGATACCGCCCGATCTCGCGGGGGGACAGTACGTCCGCAACGGCGGCAATCCCGTGACGAACGACGACCAGAGTCGAGCGGCGCATTGGTTCGATGGTGATGGTATGCTGAGCGGCGTCCTCTTCCGCCGCATAGGCGAGAAGAACACTGAAATCCAGCCCGAGTTCGTCAACCAATACCTGTTGACCGACGTCTACTGCCATGCCAAGAGCAACAAGTACCTGCGACGGCCTGTGGTGCCGAGCATTGCGACACTGGTGAACCCCGCCGTGAGCATGCTTCGCATCATGTTCGAGGTCTTCCGCACCGTGTTCCTGGTCATGGTATCTCGCCTTCCGGGATTCGGCCGTCCGATCAAAAAGATCAGTGTCGCAAACACGAGCGTAATATTCCACAACGGACGTGCGCTCGCGACATGCGAAAGCGGTCCGCCGTTGAGGTTCGCGTTGCCGAGCCTGGAGACCATTGGCTGGTTTAATGGGAGGACCGCAGAAAACGAGCCGGTGAAGAGCACCGAGAGTGGCTTCGGCGGCTCAGGCGTCAAGTCTTTCATGAGGGAGTGGACGACCGCCCACCCCAGAGTCGACCCGGTGACCAAGGAGCTCATCACGTTCCACGCGACGTTTGTCAAGCCATTTGTTCGTTGCTCCGTCGTGCCGCCGACGTCAAAATCGTCCGCGGGTCGCCCGCCCATCTTCGACGCGCCAGTCCCGGGGGTCGAATCGCCAAAGATGATGCACGACTTTGGGGTGTCGAGGCATTACACCATCATTATGGACCTGCCGCTCTCTCTGGATACGATGAACCTGCTTCGCGGGGTTCCCAGCTTGTCGTACGATTCCGCAGGGAAGTCGCGCTTCGGCGTGTTCCCAAGACACCAACCTGATGCTGTCCAGTGGTTTGAGACAAACCCGTGCACCATCTTCCACACCGCAAACTGCTGGGATGCGCTGTCACCAGATACCGATATCAACGCCCCTCGAGTATCAGTAAACCTTGTTGCGTGCCGCCTAACGTCGGCAGCTATGGTATTCAGCGCTGGCAACCTACCGACGCCTGAAGTGAAGCCGGTGCCTCCCGAATATGCCGAAGAGGAGCAGTGCCGCTTGTACTATTACAACTTTCCTTTGTCAGACAATGCCAACATCCAATACAATATCAGACACCAATGGGCGCTGTCGGCCATTTCGCTCGAGTTCCCGTCCGTAGCTCCGGCACACTCGATGCAGGAAGCGCGGTATGTCTATGGATGCTCGACGGGCGAGGCATCTTACACCGTTGCCCTCGGCAAGGCAGCAAAGATCGACCACTTGGCTAAGTTCGACATCCGGACGCTCATTGCGCGAGGCGTAGCCAACCCCCCACAGCCTGTCAAGGGATGTGTAGACACGCGGAGTGTTGCTCAAGTCCTGGATAGCAAAGACCCGGAAGATCCTATCAAGCTCTTCCGGATGCCCGATGGATGGTATGCCCAGGAACCGCGTTTCGTTCCTCGCACAGAGCCACGGTCTGAAGATGACGGATGGTTGTTGACGTATGCCTTCAATGAGAATCAACTCGACAAGGAAGGGGAATGCCTCCCGAGTGCCGTGAGTGAGCTGTGGGTCATCGATGCAAAGGAGATGAAAGAAGTGGTCGCTCGGATCATACTGCCACAGCGGGTGCCATACGGACTGCACGGGAGCTGGTTCAGTGAGGACGAGATTAATGAACAGAGGCCATTCGAAGCAGTGAGGAGGATGGTGCAGTAAAATAATTGTGCATCTTGGCATAAAGCCTTGCAGTGCTTGGAGGTTGAAGTCGGCTGTCTGAACTTGCACATGATACCATAGTCTTTCTAGTAGTAGGCTGAACATAATCTTTGTCATTGGTCACTTATCTTCTGATACCACTAACGTGGTCAGCCTTCTTCCTTTGAGTTCGTATGTATTATTCTCGATGTCCATAAGAGCTGGGGAACTGGGAGTAAATTCGATCTGGCTTGTTCGGATCCAACTTTGCGAATGTATATGCCAAGCGCTATGCGGCGTCCATAGCGGTCCCTTGACAGGTTCATATGGTTGAGTCTAGTAGAACAGTTCTCCTGCCCAAGGGACGAAGTACATTGGGTGGCCAAAGCCTTCAACACGTGAGAGGAGAGGACCCGTCGACGCTCCCAGTTCTCAATCCATCACTGGTTGAGAAACGGAACTGGCAACGAAGACCGAGGAGCTCGGTCCTCCGACCTTTGATTTAAATCCGCTCCGACGTTGGTAGCTGGCTAATGCAACGGCTGTAACGGCTATCCGCGCTAGCTTCACTATAACACCACTGGATGAGGCGGAAACGTGACGTGTCTGTCAGCGGAGACAAGCCTAGTAGCCCGAATACCATAGTCGTTCAATTGGCATCAATCGCGAGACATACGGGGAAATGCTCGGTCTCATCCCGTCTTGGTTTGTTGCCATTGATCTGCCGTGGGGATGTGGGCTCGATTCCCTGGGAGCGTGAATCTTTACTTCGCGGAGACAAGTTAACGATGCGGAAATACACAAGGGTGCTAATGGATCCGTTGACGTCTCGCGCGCTGTCAACATCGGCTCATTTAGTCCCGGCGATGATGCGAGAACAAACACTGGCCTTGGCTCGCAACACGTCGCGGCTATGTCAGCTCAAGGTGTTCAGACGATACGCCGTCTTTTCTGTCGAGTCACTGACATCAGCACGGGATTGCACCTAATGGGATTGCGCCTAACATGTCCCGGTGCAGGAAGGGTCGTTGGTGGTTTGTGGTCTAGTAGTCAACCAAGGGACATAACTGATGAGGTTCGTGGTGTTTCCGCTTACCGCCGTCGGCGCCGACGGTAAACCAACGGATTTTCTGTGGCCTTTCTCCCAGGTGACTAGGTAGTCAGCAAGAACCATGTTGCCTTACCCATCCTCCCGCCTTCGCTAAAATGCTATGCCCACAGCGGTCCAAGGGGGCGACATTGTCGGCTCGAGTGCCCTGAACTGAGACTCCAATGGAGGGTCCATTGGAGGCTGGGCCATGCCCCTCACCGCTACTGCTTGCCGGCAATGGGACATGTCTCTTTGCCCAGAGCCCCGGAACCCGCCCGCCCCCCTCCCTTCTCCTCCCGCGGCGGCTTGTGCTGCGAACCCCCCCCTCATCAATAAGACGTTGAGGCTCACGGCCCGAAAATCGTCAATCTCAACGACGTCCGTTGTCGTAGCCGCCAGTCAACCTTCGCTACGACTTCTTCCGACGACTGGTTGCAGTATGGTGATGCCCAGACATTTGGTGAAGCGCCGAGAAGTAACCCCACAGGGCAGTGCTGGACGGCGGCGACTATCAGTGAATGGGTGGTGAGGTTTCGGCGTCCAGATCTCATCTTTTGGCTTCCGAGACCGTGAAGGTGTGCCCAGACCCATCACAGGCTATCATGTGTGATGTAGTGCGTGATAGACCGCTGTAAGATGCTCCCCCCGCGTCTTCGCTGACGAGACCCATTCCCCCCTTCTTTCCCCGGGTTCCCCAGCCTTGCACTGGGTCCATCGTTCGTGTTCGTGCAGTATCTCGAAATGTCCGTCGTCGCTTCTGGCCTTTTGTCATGGCTCAATTCCCGGCCATCCGAGACTTTTGGCGAGGGTTGGCAAAACGTTGGCAACATGGGGAACCCCCACAATTGTCATCTCGCGGCAGACAGATCTAAGGTCCGTGGATGGAGCCGTCGGATTGGCGCAAAACTTTGGGGCAATTAAGCTTAGCAAATGCCAAACGGGGCTGCTGCACGTGCGAATTGTCGATACGTGGCAGTAATTGCTGGGCGACGACTCTGGCAGTGGGTGCCAAACATGGTAGACACTCCGTTGAAAGCCTGCCAGCGGCATGTCCCTGTGGCTCCTTGGTCATGAAGTTCTGTCTGCGAGAGCAGCATATGTAACGACAACGGCTCGTCTCGACGTGGCTGGGTTTTAGGTCAAGGACCTGATTTGTGCATCGTTACCGGTACATGTTGATTTCGCTCACCAAGACGAATCGTTGTTGAGCTTGGGCGTTTCTTTGCTGTGCTGGTCATCGTCATGCAGCACAGCGCAGTGCCAAAGTACTAGCCTTTGGTCTCACAGGATTCCCGCAGGGCAAGTCGACGCGGAGCAAGGGTGGATCAAGCACGGCAGGTATCACAGGAAAGCCCTGTTTGACGCCGAGTTTAGGCCTTTCCCTGATCGACAGAGTTGTAGTGTCTTGGGTATATTATCACCGAATGGAAGACTGCCAAGATGGATTCCTCAGGCAACTCGTGCTTGCCGCTAGTTTCAGGGCATTTTGACCTTGCTGAGCAAGAGACGTTAGGCGGAAGCGCAGCGTCGATGATGCCTGTGGAAGCCCACAACTGGGTGTCTTGGCAGCGTTGCGCAACGCGATTCGATGAGAAGTAGTATCATTATCATAAGAAATAAAGAACCATGTGCCGTGATGCATTGCTGGGACGATGATATGCGACTTTTCCCGTTTGATATCTCGCCAAACTGACCAAAGGCCAAGACTGCAGGTTGGGTCTGATGGAGGAATGGAAACATTGGTTGCGGGGTGATTGCGCACTACCGTGGAACATGGCAGCACCAGATACGCTGTAAGCCAGATACCCGTTGGGCCCCGGGAAAGTACACACTGGGAAGGAAGAGGCAGATGGAGAAGACATACCAGTCAGCAATGCAATCAATCAGTCACACTGGCGTCGTATGCAATGGTGCGTTTGGGGATGCGCCGTGCTCACCTACCATTTCGGGAGGGCGAGTGGGTGCATGATTGCGCCATTGGCTGTTGGCAGCGATGGATTGGAGCTAATCTCTTAGACTTGAGGCATCCAGGCCACATCCCTTCGCCTCATGTCTGAATTCCGGTTTGCAGAAAGTATGGAATTTTGGGTTTCCTGGTGTTGCTTAACCATCGAAACATGTACAGTTTTGGCGTTCCGCGCGAGTGCTGCTGGTGACGACGACGACAATCAGATGCCGGACGAATGTTTGGCAATGATGACAGTCCCTCCCGTAATGCAGATGGGAACGAGGCGAAGGCGGCTGCTGACGATGGACGATGGAAATCAAGGCACGAGGCAGGTCTTGGTATGATGTAGACGTCGGTCTGTGTCCGTCTATCAGAGGAGACGGACGAGGGAAGGTGAGGGGGAGGTGAGCTTGGCGGGGCCGGCGAACTGGCTCGGGCAGTCGCCAGGTTCGCAAGGGTCTCTCTTCCGTCCACTGATGTCTGGGTGGGCTGTAGGGGAAGGAATGTCATCTGATGTGTTTTGACTAAGGGCGCAGCATTGGAAACTGCGCACCAGTCGCAGGCAAAGTAGCACTTAGTATAGCAGGGGTTAGAGGAAAAGGAATCTCGCAAACAAGCGACGACGTACTTTCCGACCTCAGACTGGACCTGCTGGACCTGATTGAATGAGGGAGGTGGGAAACATTACGTTAGAAACAGCAGGACCAACACGCAACGATGCAGTGAGCGAGCGCACTTACCCTCTCTCCTCTCTGCTTCCTTTTCTCTTCTGGAACAGAATCAAAGGTGGTGGGGCTGGGGGGCACGCTAGCGCCGCTCGCCAAGAGCCGCGTGGCACCCGGCCAATTGGATAAGCCATTATTTGAGGATCAATCTGGCGAATCATCAAACGGCCATGGTTGCAAGCAGTCCTCAGAATGATGCGTGGGTGCGGAGATGAGTAGATATGATACCTGCAGAGGGCAAGCAAGGGAAAGTACCGCTACCGCGATACCTTCCATTGACGTTCATGTCGACTTGGGGAGATGTTGATAGCTGGCTGACAGCTGGTGGTGGAAGGCTTCTTCTACGCTGTGGGTGGTTTGGACGGTTTGGATGGTTCGGAAGGCTGGGCTGGACGGTTTAGACGAAGCGTTTGCACAGCCACGATGGCCGCTCCCTATCAGCTGGCCAGAAGCGTCCCAACCCTAGCCGTTTCGCGGTCCAATGATTGGACGGTGGGTTCCCTCTATCCCTGGTGACGACGACCCGCCCGCTCTCGGCGGACATCGGTGCTTCCTTGGCGGCGCCGCTGGTCTGCATCTCCACCCCGGCCGCCATCCTCAGTGACTGCGTCCTCTCCAAGACATTGGGCAGTCCGGGTGGTGCAATACCTACAGTAGCAGCAGATGCTCGCGTCTGTGAGGTCCCGTTGTAGCGATTGCCACAGCGCTTGTGAGGGGGCTGTGGCAGCGATGCGTCACAGTATCGCCCTGCTACGTCCGCATTCCACAGCAGCATAAACCGTCACCATCAGTCATTCATCGTCGGTCGTTTCCCGTGGCTGCACTTGCACTGCTCCGTTTCCCCAGCTCCCGCGGGCACGAGACCGCCAGAGCGCAAGGGGGCGCTGGCGGCGACTGGAGGACGACGACTTCTTGGCAACAACTCGCTGTGTCAGTCTGTCAGTCACGCAGTTGGTCGGTCATTGTCACTCTGACAGGTTCCTTCTGGGCCGGTTCGAGGGTTAGTGCTCCGTCTTGTCAGTCGCTAGCTATTACACCCCTTCGGCTTTGTTTTTCGACGGGCGACAATGCCTGGCCGCTTGGTGGATGCCACTTGCCAAAACCCGCCACCTGTTCACTGTTGCGCCTCCGTATCCATCCCCGTCCCCGTTGCTGTACCTGCCTGGAGGGTAAAGCAGGAAACAGAAGGGAAGGTACACATTGCGGCGTAAGGCAGGAAGGCAGGTGAGAGTACCTTCCCTTTTGTTTTTCTTCCTTCCTTCCCTTTTCGATGCCAATACCAATACCAATACGGCTTGCCGCCTCAGTTATGTACCTTTTGGATCCCTACTTAGCCGTACCCCTTCCCGGTAAGAGTAAGAGTCCACTCCGTCCCGTTACGTCTTTCCCGGTTCCCTTCCCACTGGTCAAGCAGCACATCAGCAATCCAGACGTCGACGGTAGCCCAAGACACGCCTAGAACAGATCAAAACCTTGAAGCAATCAAGCCCGCCCCTGCTGATTGCCAAGCTTCCCGCCCACTTTAACATCCTCCATACCACATAGTGCACCTAGTGTACTCCATACGTACTCCCACTGCAAAGATACAAGGATACCTCGCATCGTCCCTCTCCCTTCCCCCCCCTCTCAATCACATCGAATCACCAAATCCCAATCGACATGCAAGTACATCCACTCATTTACTATCCATCGTTCCCTCACTAACATTTGCGGCCCCAGTCCGGTACGGAGAACGAGCCAAGATACGCATTCGCTCAACGGATGCCCTTCGGCCCTCACTTCTTCGGTTCATCCACTCCAGAAGCCGTTCGGTCGGAGCTATTTTCCCACCACCGTACCCGCGCCCGCGTCCCTGTATCCTCGCATCCCCCAGACCACACGCCCGTCGGCGCATACGCCCATATCCCATCCTCTCGGTCTCTTGTCGTCTGTCCCGGACACACACACACATACACACACACGCTTCCACACTCCCCCTCCCTTGGCACGCCCATTCCGCACGCCAAAAGTATAACTTGACGCCTTCTTCCTGCCACACCTACGTTCTCTTTCTCTTTTTCTTCTTCTTCTTTATCACCACCCCGATCACCCCAAGCTCTTAGCTTGCACGTTCTCTCCACCTTTCCAACTACAACAGACACTCAGCTGGGCTTTACCAAAAGCACCAACACCCCCTTCAGACCCCCGAGCGCATTCTAGCAGTAACCTACCGATATCCGATGGGAGAACCCGAAGCCGTCAGGCATGGTGAACACAACACAACTGCCGCGGAAGTCAACCCCGAGCAGGACGAGCCCCCGTCTATACCGCGGCCCCCGCCCATTCCTAACCCTGTCCCTCAGCGGCCTGCCCACACGGTTCCTGTCACGGACTTAGGTCTCCTTTGGCAGACCAACCTTGAAAATGGCCTCTCAAAGGCCGAAGCCTCTGCCCGTCTTGAACGGGACGGGCCTAATCGTATCGAGGGTGCAAAGGGCCTGTCGATTTGGGAGATTGTCATGAGACAGATCTCCAACAGTTTGACTGTCGTCCTCTTGATTGTCATGATCCTGTCCTTTGCCATCCAAGATTACATTGAAGGAGGTGTCATCACCGCCGTTATCCTTCTCAACATCGTCGTGGGGTGAGTTCTTCTGCCCCTTGCTCGTCCCATTGTTTTCCCACACCTTGCAAACTCCGGCCTCTTGCTTCCATTTTTTGCCTCTGCTTCTCCGCATCCAAGCTGCCCTCCCTCCCCGTGCCTCATCGACTTGCCTGTTTTGTTAAGCTGCTGCCATGTGTGGTTGGTCGGCGGAACGGTGTGGCCACTGCGCCGGCTACTGGGTTGGGTGACCATTGACCGCCCTCGTGGCACCTGCACCAAGATATCTGCAAGGATCTTGGCAAACGTGGCGCCCATATCCCCGACCCTTGCCATCCTATCATCCCGACTCGCCCACCGACTTTCCATACCCTGTCGTTCACTACAAACAACGGCTGGGAACTATGACTGACATTTTCACAGCTTTATCCAGGACTACAATGCCGAACAGACCATTCAGTCTCTGTACGCGCTGTCCGCCCCGACGTGCAAGGTCATCCGCGACGGTATCGCGGAGACCGTTCAGGCCCAGACCCTCGTCAAGGGCGATCTTGTCATGATCGCTGTTGGTGATGTTGTCCCCGCCGACCTCCGCCTTCTCGAGGGAATTAACCTCTCCATCGACGAGGCCCTCCTTACCGGCGAGTCGCTGCCCATCAGCAAGCACCCCGACGCCATATTCGAGGACGCCGACATCCCCCTCGGCGACCGCATCAACATGGTATACTCCGCCACCACCGTCACTCGAGGACGCGCTCGTGGTATTGTCACCACCACCGGCATGGAGACCGAGGTGGGCAAGATCGCAATGATGCTTCGCACCACCCGCAAGCGAGACGAAAACGCCTCTCTGCCCGTCCGCGCTCTCATGCGCGTCAAGGCTGCCGCCAAGAGCATCCTGGGTCTCGAGGGCACTCCTCTGCAGGTCAAGCTTAGCAAGTTCGCCCTCTTGCTGTTCGGTCTGGCTATCCTCCTTGCCATCATCGTCTTCTCCGTCAGCAAATTCGATATTGATGACCAGGTTCTTATCTACGGCATCTGCGTCGGTGTTGCCGTCATTCCTGAGTCCCTCATTGCGGTCCTAACCATTACCATGGCCGTGGGCACCAAGGCAATGGCGTCCGGTAACGTCATTGTTCGCAAACTGTCTTCCCTCGAAGCCGTTGGTGGTGTCACCAACATCTGCTCCGACAAGACCGGTACCCTTACTCAGGGACGAATGATCACCCGAAAGATCTGGCTGGCCGAAGACACGACCGCCATCATTGAGGGTACCACCGACCCTTATGACCCTACCAGCGGCAAAGTGCGTTGGCCGGGTTCGGCCGCGTCGAGCTCGGCCTCTAGTGGAGCGTCGACTCCGACGGTCGAGAAGACCGACGACACTATTCAGTCCTCGTCTTTTGGTGCCTTCCTCAAGGCCATCGCGCTTTGCAACAACTCTTCTGTTACCGATGGCAAGACGTCCACCGACACTGAGTCCATGACTACCGCTACCGAGGTGCCCGTTACGTGGTCCGCCATCGGCGAGCCCACCGAGATCGCCCTCCAGGTGTTCGCTATGCGTTACGGAAAGGGAAAGACCGACCTCGTCTCGTCTGAAAAGACCAAGATGTTGTACGAGTTCCCCTTTGATTCGTCTTGCAAGCTCATGAGTGTCGTCTACGAATTTCCCGGGGCTCCTCGTCAGGTCTTCACCAAGGGCGCTGTCGAGGTTATGGTTCACCGCTTGGCTGAATCCGAAGACACAAAGGCAAGGATCGTCGCCAAGGCCGACGAGCTCGCCTCCGAGGGCCTCAGAGTCCTCTGTGTCGCCCAAAGATTCCTCGAGGACACAGATAATGCCAGCGAGAGAAACGAGGCCGAATGCAAGCTCCGCTTCTTGGGTCTTGCAGGCTTGTACGATCCCCCTCGTGTCGAGACGCTTGGTGCCGTTCAAAAGTGCAACACCGCTGGAATCTCTGTTCACATGGTCACTGGTGATCACATCAAGACTGCGACTGCCATCGCTCACGAGGTTGGCATTCTTCGTGGCGGCGAGCAGCCCACCGCTGTGATGGCAGCCGGCGTTTTCGACGCTATGTCAGACGACGAAGTCGACGCGCTCGAGGCTCTTCCCCTGGTCATTGCGCGATGCAGCCCCATGACCAAAGTCAGGATGCTCGAGGCTATGCATCGTCGCAAGGCCTATTGTATTATGACTGGCGACGGTGTCAACGACTCGCCCGCCTTGAAGAAAGCTGATGTCGGTATTGCCATGGGCAAGAGGGGCAGTGACGTTTCCAAGGAGGCAGCGGACATGGTTCTCACTGATGACAACTTTTCGTCCATCGTTACCGCCATCAAAGAGGGTCGTCGTTTGTTTGACAACATCCAGAAGGTATGCCTTCATCGATTTATTTTATTCTAAGGATGATGCTAATCAATGTCTAGTTCCTGCTCCATCTCCTGATTTCCAACATCTCCCAGGTCATCCTTCTCCTTATTGGTCTCTCCTTCAAGGACAGAAGTGGCACCTCCATCTTCCCCCTGTCTCCTTTGGAGATTCTCTGGGTCAACCTCATCACCTCGTCGTTCCTGGCTATCGGTCTGGGTCTCGAGGAGGCGCAACCTGACATCCTCTTGCGTGCACCCCACAGTCTGCGGATCGGTGTCTTCACCTTTGACCTGATCCGGGACAAGATGATATACGGTTTTTTCATGGGCTCGCTGTGTTTGGCCGCGTTTACGTCCGTCGCGTACGGTCCTGGCGCTGGCGACCTCGGCAGCTTCTGCAACGACGGATGGAACGACACCTGTGGCGTCGTCTTCAGGGCTCGCTCCACCGTCTACGCCACCTTGAGCTTCTTGCTCTTGGTCACTGCCTGGGAGGTCAAGCACTTCCAGCGTAGTCTGTTCAATATGAACCCCGAGTTGTGGACCGGCCCCACCGCCGTGTTCAAGACCGTGTTCAAGAACCGCTTCCTCTTCTGGGCTGTCGCTGGTGGCTTCGTTATGACCTTCCCCGTCATCTACCTTCCTGTTGTCAACCGCGCCGTGTTCAAGCACGACATGATCACTTGGGAGTGGGGTATTGTCATCGCCTGCCTGGTTGTCTACATTGCCCTCATCGAGTCTTGGAAGGCCGTGAAGCGTCACCTGGGTCTCGGCGTGAATGTACGCGGTCCGGATCAACAGGTCTAGTTCTGCGCTTTAAACAGAAAACATAGTTCTGCTGCAAAGCAGATGCTTCTGTGTGGGCTTGAGGCAAAAACAGGATATGGCGTGGTTTCTCAATGGCGCTTTAGTGTCAATTACTTGAGGTTATGACCGGATCCAACATCGGCAAATGGAAATCAGATAGGATGGGGCTATTCAACATCAGCCTGACAGGCTTTCGGGCTTTGGTGGCATTCGCATTCTTCACACTCGTTTAGAATCTTTATCTATCAGACTTAGGCTGTTGAGTCGAGTATATACTCCAGCCATGGCAGCAATGAAACAAGCTCGCTTTGCCGAGCTCAGCCCACACTTCCGGCCTCCTTTCTCCCTCCGTGATCCTTCTTCCTCGCAATGGTCTTTCAATTGTTCCCGACAGCCTCTTGTGCCTTCTTCTCTTCGTTCCTTTCCTTCTCAACTTGTTTCTTGTAGCCGACCCAGTCATCACTCCTCGGGAACGGAACTTCCGGTACCACAACGCCAAGAAACTCGCACAGCGGCTCCCACCCGTCTCCAGGATGATACTCCAAAAACCTCCTCCCGCCCTTCTTCAAAGCGCGCACTTCTTCATGATGCCTCTCAAAGTACGCCCTCCCGCTCTTTTCAAAGTCGTCATCCCAGCACGCGGCGTGGTAGGCATTCGCCAGCCCCTCCATCGGCGACTTCCTCCCCGGGTCGCGGTGGAGGTGCGCGTGGATGAGGGTATCCCTCATCGACGCCTCCCAGGACTCGAGAGGACGGGTCGTGTGGATAATGAGGCTTTCGGGGTATGCCTCTGCCAGAGCTGTGGGGAAAAGGGAGGGGGGGAAGTCAGAGACCGCGGAGAAGCCAGACAAAAGGGCATCCCATTGCGATCGGGACCAGGGGGCAGGGGGGGAGGCAGGGGGAAGGTTATCGGCGATGGCGGAGATCCAAAGGTCTTGGTGGGCGTTCTTGGAGACTTCGCGCATGTGGTAGACGGGGGAGATGGAGAGGTGGGCCAGGGCGTCGGCGAGGGCTGGCGTGCGGGACGGGAGGATTAGTTCATGGAGAGAAGAGTGCGATGAAGGGGGGTTGTGGGATGCGTACACTGGGTTCCTGTTCGGGGAAGCCCAAGGACGAGGATCTTCATTTCGGGCATGATGGCTGAGCTGATTTGGCGTGCAAAGGTGCGATGGAAAGCGGATGGATTCTATCGGCGCAATTTGGGTTCGGGGCATGATATAAAACATTTTGGGAGGATCAGGAGCACAGCAGTATGCAGAGTATACGTATGCAAAAGTGTCGTAGGGCACAATCCCGGTTCCGATCGTCCGGCTTGTCCCTTAATTCAACGTCACGGGGCCTGCCATATTAGGAAGCTGGGGCCGGAGCGGGACGGGTTATAATGTTGAAGGATTCGGGAGCCGGGGCCGATCGGGATTCCATTGCCCGGGGCTGTGCCGGGTACACCCGGATCTCTTGCTCACGACATGTGAGGGAAGATCACATATCAACATAATGGGGGACGGTTAGGTCTCATCAAAGATTTTTCGGATCCAAAAGCCAGATTCTCAAGGTCTGAGAACAAGGTCGATCGATACGCGAATCCAGGTTTGAGTCTCGGTCGCAGTGTTTGTTGCATGCCTTATTTCATATGTGTTGGTGTGGGTCTCCGCTTGGTCCCAGCATCCAAGGCTCGCTTTCCAGAGCGCTCAACACAGAAGTGCAGCCGGCTGGTTTCAACTGGCCACTAGGTACTAGCGCATTTTCAATACGTTTCGCTTACTGCTCGCGAGAAGGACTGTGCAGAGTCGAGTTGGTTGATGTTAATTTTCTCCCCCTCGAGATACCGGGAAAGAACAAAAAGATTGACCCCTCCCAGCGGATAACGCAACATTCATGCCGGCGGCCTTTGGGCGATCCAAGATGTGGAATTGGCACACACGAGTCACCTTTTGTTAGGCTGAGCAGGTTTTTGGACTGTTTCATTGGCTGCGATGGTGCTCCGGCAACATATTCTCCTCCAGAATGGGGGATTATACGCGGGGAACAGCTCGTCAGGCTCTAAATACTGCGTAAGCCCCCAAGGTTCTGCAAACGCGTACAGGGACAACGGTGCAATTCTCTGTCGCGGCGCGCTGGAGGTTTTTGGTCTGCAAAATCGCCCTTATCACACCGAGTCGAGGGCCTGAGAACTCCACACGTCAAAAGCCAAGTTCCTGGGTCATGCGTGCCGCGTGGACAAGATCTAAGCCTCCATATCACAAATGGACACTAATGCATCCTGCGCTTAACTCTAACTCGTAGACTCTACGACACACACAGAGTGTGGTGTGGTGGGGCCATGTGTTTGTTTCCTGGTGTCTCGTTTTGGGCGACGCAGGGTCCAGTTTCTCTATACGCGTATACTTTCGACGTAATACGTGTATGTGCACGATACGACTGGCTGCCAAGTACGATGAATACATGTAAAGAAAAGAATGTCAGCCATGGAGATTGTGATAAAGTGAGATGTCTCTCGCCATCATGGATCAGAAAGGAGTTAAGATCCACTAATCACTCAAATATCCAGCCATCGACGACGAAACCTGTCGCCAAACGAGTTCTCCCATCTCGCTTAGCCGACATCAGTATCAGATATCGCGACAAACTACTTCACCTCGCGACTCTGAACACTATCAATCACAATGGGCATCCGCGAATTCTTCAACGGGCGGTTCTTCGATACTAGATACAGAACCAAGGTCCACATCCTCCAGCTCGTCCTCATGACTGTAGCAATCATCCTTACCATTGCGCGAATGTCCATGCCGGTCCCGACAACTCGCGCAAACATGATGGCGTTGACCATGGTACACCCCTTTTCTCCTGAGAGCACCCAAAAGCTTCTCCGGCACGAGCCGTTTATGGAACTAGAGCTAATGGAAGGGTAACACAGGGCCTCAAATCGCTCATCATCATCGGCTACCAACTCCTTACCACCCACAAGGAGCGCTTCAAGAAATGGGCCTCGCTGAAAGCGAACGCCATCCTAAACACCGTCGAGATCGTCTTCTGGTTCGTCGCATTTGGTCTGCTGTGCTCGGCCAATGGCAGCTTCTGCACGGGTGCCAGCTGTGCGCTGAGCTGGGTCGTGACGCTCATTGTCATGGTTCTGATGTAAGCCTATCCCTCGTTCGGGCTCGCCACTACCATTCAACAGATATTTCGCAGCTACGTGATTGTTACTGACGGCTTTTGAAACTCGCAGTGTGCTTGCATTTCAAACCTCCGTCGTCTCCATCAAAGACTACCGCTACTTCAAGAACTACGGCGTTAATCCCGAGATAGAAGCCCGAGCAGTCTACCCGAAACCTCAAGTTTGAAGGGCTTCGAACTTATAGAGTAATGAAGGGTACTGCTCGGGAGGCGGGTGACGAAGAGCTAGTTCAACGAAGTTACGGTCGGAAGTGGCGGCTGGGGGGTCGATCGCGAAGACGATTTTGGTAGACGACGTCAATGGAGTTCAAGGTGAATGGTGTTAGCTTTTTCTTTCTTGGCCGGCTTCGTAATGTGTTTGACTGCGAGCTTGAAGGAGAGAAGTTTTTGATGGAGAATATGTTGGAATATTGAGGGCCATCATGGCTGATATCTAGGAAATGACAGTGTCGTATGCATAGAAATTTCAGTAGATCACAGTCCAGCGCGTGGGTCTTCAGGTCGGATAGAGGCCAACACATCGATGACAGTCATACACTGACATGCAAAATCATCGTCACAACTGGGCCAGGCGAGACGCCCAAGACCAATACGATTGACAGGCCTTTATTGGTGGACCTTTCTGGAAAATCGAGCCGCCGGCATTGCCGCCGGAAAACTAGCTAATCAATTATGAGAGCTCAAGCCGACCGCCGTCAAATGGAAAGTCCGAGCACAGATCGCATAGCCAGGGACATAAGAAAAGACTCTGAATCCCCTCCGTGGTCCAACAACTAAGCCTGATCTCACCTGCATTCTAATCCATCACAATTTACTACAGCACCTGGCATGGCGAAGCTACCACACTACGATGTCGCCCTCTGGCAAGTACACGAAACTGAAGACGACTGCGACCTCATAATACGAACCAATGCCGGAGAAGCCTTTTATTGCACAATTTCCCCATCGCACTTTTGTCAATCACCCAAACTCACAGAGCAGTACTTCAAGTGTCTAGACCTGCTACGATCTGGAGAAGAAGAGCAGGATGATTTCTACATAGAAGATGCATGCGATAGACTATCAAAACTGTTCGAGGCTCTCATCGCCCAAATGGCGTCATCGCCCTCAGTGGTTCGCAAGGATAGACGGCCGACTCTCTCTCAGTATCTGTTCTCTCCGTATTTCATTTGCGGTCTAGATGCTACCGAGAAGTCCTACGACCGTATCAACTGGAGTCTCAGGAACATGGCTGGTCCAGCGCCGTTGTGGTTGTTGAGGACGACTTCCTTCAGGACCTTGACCAGTGGACTCAGTCTTACCTTCCACCTGATGTCAAGATAACTTACGATCGCGCTGAAGACGTCTTGATTAAACGACCAACCAAAGTCCTTGTTGCTGCGGGAAATAGCAACCTGGTCACATGTTGCTTTAAACCGTTTTGCCTCTCGTTTGCTCTAGCATATGCGAAGAAGGAGCTCACAACGTTGAAAGAAATCGTCATGGCGCAGATACCCCTTGCCCCAGAATCGTGGATTTGTTGCCTACACGGAGTTGTTTGAGACGGTAACAGATTGATGGGCATGCTTTTTACCTGGATAAACACTAAAGGAGTGCTGCTAAGAGCAAGACTTGAGCAGAGTTTACCCGAAGTAAGGAAACGTTAGGAGACTCAGATCAGCGCGTCTTGGAGAAGCTGCACCACAAAGGCATCATCTGGGGCGATGCCAAAGCCGAGAACGTTCTTATAGATAGGGACGACAATGCCTGGATCATTGACTTTGGGGGCAGTCACACTGATGGATGGGTTGACGAGGAGAAAGCCGTGACATGGGCAGGCGACGCGCAGAGTCTAGCAAAGATACTCGACATCCTACAATAACCATACATACTTCATTAACTTGTTAGTAGACGTTATCATATTTCTCGCTGCCGCTCCTTCTTCAGTCTGTTTCGAGTGCCTTCTTCAGGAATCTCGAGGCGATACTCAGAGAACTAGTGGTTAGAAACATCTATGATCAGGTCTAATATCTTTAGAGCGATGTAAGAATACACTGGTAATAGCTTCCTTAGCTTCAAGTGTTGGTCCCAAGCTTTTCACGTCTTCGGCATGTTTTGAATATGAATCTAGGTTTCATGGAGCAAGGAAGACAGCATTGACACTATCGTAGATATGTCTTTAGCCAGTATCTGACACTCGAGCATTCTTCAGAAGTAGATCAATACCTATGTCTGAGCCTCGTGGTTGAAGTCAAAGTTCACTCCTGCCCAGAAGGCATCATCCATGAAAGTGGTTTCATCTTGTCCCCCACTATCCATAATGGCATCCGCGAGAGCAAATTGCGTATTGAAGGCAGATTCTGAACCGCCGTTGAATCCCTGAAAGCCTTGACCTGCACCATCCCATATGAAGTCTTGAGTAATATTGCTCATCAGTGGACAGAGGTTCTGTTCAAGGGTCTGCTCTGGTTGCGCCGAGACATTCTCCATGTCCCTTCCGGATAACATTGCCAAGTTTTTCCGGTCGGTCTGGAGCAAGGAGTTCGGAATCCTCTCCGGGTACTTTTGGTACAGGTACTTGATGAGGTCGACTCTCATTCTGTAAGCCGGCTTCCATGATGTGGAGAGCTCCTTCAAGATCTCCAAGCACGCTTCAATGTATAAGGTGCAACAGGGTCTGCCGGTATTTGCGAAGTCTGGATCGGGACTCGCATACTGAATCAGAACCAATGTCGCAGTGAGTATGCAATGCGTGGCCGAAATTGGACTCTTGCGGAAGCTTCCAAAGACCTGCCGATACTTTTTGCCGGCGTGACATATCCGCTTGGCCGACTCGACGCAAAGTTCTTCTGCACGTTTGACAGTCTCAGTCTTCGGTACCGCATGCGCTTCCTTCGGCCTAATGAGGAAGGGCTTGAAGAGAAGTATGCAGCAGGTGTGATAGACCATGTGCAGGGTGTATACCTGCGGCAAATCGTTCGGTTTGTCGATCCTGAGGTCGGCTGGAAGCTCGTAGAACCATGTCTTGAGCTCTAGCGTACAAGATTGGAGGAACGATATTCTCTGCGGTCCTTTGTAGAGCGGTTTTGGGGCGTACCTGAAACGGATCATTAGTCTCGTTCTGAGTGAAGAACTGTCGATGACATGAACACAAGGTACTAACAGAGCGAGCAGAATATTCTCCAAAATGCGACAGAGTCCAATCAGCCCACGATGTACAAGGATCTTCTTGTTGCATCGTATCATATCACTCATGCCACTGGCCCCACTACTTATTTGTTCTGGTGTAAGTGGTGATGGAAGATTCACAGCACCCTGAACATCCTGTACAGTTGAGTCTGCATTAGTACCACCAACCTCGTCTCCTCATGAGGAACTTAGGAGTCAGGCTTACCAGCAGACTACAGACTCGCCCAGTATAGATAGCAGCAAGCTTGTCGTCACAGTATAGCGACCAGTATACCTGTCGTCGCAACTCTATCTCTTCACTCGACATGTGACACGAGCCACTCAAAGATGCGGCATCGAGATTGAGTCCCATGTCGAGGGCGAGTCGGTTTGCCATTCCCTGGTGTAGCCATCCGGCTGCATCACAACCATAAGCCTTGTTTTCATCAGCACATTGCGATCTACAACTCATTTGCAGTTGCCATCACCACGTACCACATAGACTCCAACCAGAATGGACATCGACTGAAGTGTTGTGATAGTCGGTCGTTTCATGTCATAATGCAAGAGTACTTCAGCTTTTTGCATAAACGATTTCCCGGCCGTATTCTGGTCAGTAGGATCCGAACGGATATCAATCCTGTCTGAGTAGCGAGACCCCAGAGCAAGAATGCAGTTAAGCAGCAGCGGGCTGTAGTAGCGGCCCTGCGTTTTCATGCTTTCTCTGAATAGCTTCTCGTTGACAACCTGACACCAAGGGCTCTGATACTCGAAAAACAGGTCGATCAGCTCGGTTTGAAGATCTTCCGGATAAACCTCAGCTTCTAATGGTAGGATGTAGCGATTTGTCTCGACAGGTTTCGTGGTTGCTGAGCTGCTTCCATGATCGTCGTTTTCGGGTGTGGATTCTTCAATGAAGTCATTAGTAAGCTCTCGCAATAACAGATGGACGGGGGGGGGGGGGGGGGGGGGGGGGGGGGGGGGGGGGGGGGTAGAAGACGTAGCCTACCGCTTTGGAACTCCAACCGACCACTTGAGGGCCCAAAGTAACGCATTTCGCCATCCTGGTCGTAGTTGACGGCCTCATCAAGGGAAAGTGCCCCTTCAAATGTCGCGCAGAGATCATCAAATGCCGAAGGGCTCAAGCCAGCATCACCGCTGCTTAGCAAGGGGTTGATGATGGAGGGCAGTTGAGGGGTTGCCCCTGTGGTTGAAAGCTGGGCAACGGATGCCTCGATATCGATAGCGCGTGACTGCAGTACTGCTTCCAGCAAGTCAATCCGGTTCCTCAGCAACTGAACATATGACTTTGAAGCTGGCTTGCGGCCATCCTCTTCACTTCTGTAAAGGCAATTGAGGGAGCGCTCAGAACACCGAGCGCAGGCAGGTCGCTGGCCGTCACACTAGTTTCATGCGACGTCAACATCAAAACAACATTTGAGTGGTGACAGGGCGGTCGACATTGGCGAAGGAAATTATATTCCACCCACCTTGGCTCTTCGGCGCCGACACTCCTCGCATGCTTTGGAGGTGTATCTGCGCTTCGGATGGCTCACGGCCCGCTCCGATGACAATTGGGGCATAGCGGCGGCAGACCAGATGCAAGGGGTTATCCACACGGCCAACAGGTATTTCTCTGGAGCCTCAGCGTACCGATTCTTGGGTTCAATAAGGGAAATCGAGGCACGACAAACTCATGCGGTCTCGTCTCGCAACCAAGACTGAGATGGCCTATGCTGTGGGGCCAATCACATGGAACAATGACTGCTGACTAATACGCGGGGGAGGAATTCATATTCCGCCCCCTGCGTCATTGGCCATAATTATCTTGTCGACAAAGAGTTAATCCTTTGTCAACCCTGTAAAGTGAAGCAAAATATTCAAAGTGACAGACCAGAGCGTACAACTCTTATCGCATTGCTAATTTCTCTTGAATTCCAAAGTAAGATAAATACAAGTGATGAGCAAAGAGAACGAAAAAGAAAAGGTAAGATGACAAGATGAGAAATAAAAAGAAATAATAAAACAAAATAGGCGGACCTTGCGGGTCAAATCTTTACGCCATGGCCATTAAACCAAGTTCTTTCTGACCTGTTTTCCAGGCAGCAGGGTGGAAGCTATCTCACAAAAGCGGAAGTTGCCTTGCTATTTGAGCCTTTGAGGCAGATTGAGCGTGGGCAAGAATGGAAGTCTGGGAGTGTACTCTCTGGCCGCCCTGGAAGTGAGACTACCTCAAGCCTTGGCCCGGAGATCGGACGGTTAATATTCCAAAATAGCAGCCGAAAGGGAATGTCCATGCGGATTGCTCCTTACTAGGTCATCATCTTGTGCCGGGTCATCGACTTTGGCCAAGCACATCGTGCACACTGAAGACACCGATACATATTCGGGCAATGGCCCATAGCACGTAATTTGCATGTTGCCGTCGTATTTCGGTGCGTGACTTTCACGCACTAACATATCAGGAACCTGGACCCTTGGGTCGGGGAAAGACGCATACGCGGGTCAGTTGTACACTTGGGCATGCAGTGTTGAATCCCCGAAATTGACATCCGCCATTAAGGCATGAAATGCCATGACCGAGAGACACGGACAGACAGCGGGTCCGCGTTCTAGCGTGGGGACAATGCACTGGCGGTGCCAAACGCCGTTCCGGCGCAGTCAGAAAGCCACAGTGTCGATCAGCACAGCCAAGTGGCCTCGCTCACTGCAGGTACTCAAACTGTTGTGTTGAGATACAGATGAATGGTACTATCGGCAGACTGTCTCTGACTTCTTCGGAGGCTATTCCAAGCTTAAGTGGAGGCGAAGCCAGTCATATTAGGCCGCGAGTATCAGATTTTGATGTCTGTCAGCCTCCCCGAGCCGCACCGGAATTAGGACAGTAGCAACAGTACAAGTGGACAACGCACCAGCGTCAATCTGGAAGGCCGCTTTTAAGGGACACTCTTAGGGCATCCTTGAGCCTCACCTGGAGACCAAAGTAGTTCGCAGTGGTCGGACCTTAGCCTGTCACGTCTTCCGCAGGGTGTGGTTGGGATGGTTGGGATGGTTGGGATGAAATTCAAGGGTTCTGTACTTGCTTGCCAAGTCCTTCGAAATTTGGGGCTTGTGTAGACGCTGAGCAGTTTCCCGCCTCAGGGTACAGGCTTTGTTATCAAATTTGCGGATGTCAACACTAAAGACACGCGTTCGTACGGCGCTCATGCGGCAAGCTGCATGTCTCGGACGAACACTGTCGAGTGGGTTTTCGCGTAATTGTTAGCGTGGCACGTCGCATCCAAGACTTTGGGACGCAAGCGATTCGGCTTTGACATAACATAACCAAGCAAAGGTCTTTGTTTGATGATTTGATTGAAACACTTCCAAGCATACATGTCTGCCCCCAAAAAGGATTGTTCTGTTTTGCTATTTTAGACAAACTCCATAAGCCGGCGCAATGTGTCTTTCCTGCCAACATGCAAATCTCCCCAAATCTCACTGGCGTGGACCTGTTCCTTCGGCGGACTTCTCCACGGACACCCGCCTCCCTCTCCCCTGAGGGACAAACAAAAGTGAGCCTCTTAGCGCGCAGCCTCAAGTCTCTTAGTTCGATGCTCCGACGTCCGGCTCGGCGGGAGCACGGTCGGGGCACGGCCGGCCCGATGCCACTTAACCTCCCTACCTGCGTCTCCTGCTACTCGTCCCCGCGAACCAGACCGTCCTGAACCGTCAGTGGCGCAACGGCCAGTCACCCATTTGGGGCTCCAGACTTTGGTAATCGCAGCTGATAGGGGGCAAAGGGGGCCGGGTGGGAGGGGAAAGACTCGAATCATCCGGTTTTAGCATGTCTATCGGTCTGAGCGAAGGGGAGAAAAGACATCTATAAGAAGGTCCCAGCTGGTCTTTGATCATCGTGCATCACCAGCTTCGTTCTTCATCGCACACTAAAATCAGTATTCCACACCACTTCTTCCAAATATCCAATCCCTTCAAACCGCAAAAATGACTGCGCCTGCCACCGTCGTCTCCACCCCCGTCCCCGCCGGCGTTGACAAGGCCGCCGTCCTCTCAGCCATCCACAACCACGACCTCATGGTTAAGACCCTCTGCCCGTCCCTTATCGAGTACAAGCTCGAGTCCGGCTCTGTCGGCCTCGGTCAATCCGCTACTTACTCCGTCACCGACAAGAAGCCTATCGGCCAGACCACCTACCAGCTGACCATCACCAACCTCGAGGAAGGTGTCGACACCCTCGTCAATGCCAAGCCCCCTGTCGGCACCCTTGTCATCGCCGGCAAGTGGCGCATTATCCAGGAGGGTACCGGCCTCGTTCTCCGTGAGGAGGTTGACATCGACGCCAACATGATCATGAAGAAGATGGCCAAGGGCAACGTCGAGAAGACCCACCCCGAGCAGCACGCCGCTCTCCTCGTCCAGGCCGGCAAGGCATAAATGATACAAGCGACTATACCCCACCGGTTGAGTCTTTCACCTTCAGAAAGCGAGCGGTGTGACTGGCGTTCAACGGAAATTGGATCTTGTGGATAAGATATATCATAATGGGAATTTGACAAATTTGGAAACCTCACACACATGATTGCGCCCCTTTTAGTGAATCGTCATTGTTCGCGTCTTGCCGAAAATCTACACGTGCATCCTAGTTGAACTAATTTATTGAATCATCGGATTCAAGCCTTTGCAGCACGTTCGGGATCGTGCGCAACAACCTCAATCTCCACGCGCATGTCGTCTTCACCTAGTCTCGTCACCCCCACACATGTCCAAATAGGCTTATGGTTCGGCATCCATTTGTTGAAGTTCCTAACCATGGCATCCAAAGCTTCGTTGTTGATTGGCACATGGTATGAGTTGACCCTGTACACTTGTTCCCAGCCCTTGCCGCCGGCGTCTTTCAAGTTGAGATCGACGTTGGCGAATGCTTGGTCGATCTGCGCGTTAATCTCCTTGTAAAATTCGCCCGTTTTGGGATCCCATCCACCTTGCTCCGCTTTCAGTATGTACTGCTACACAGATAAGAAACGAACATACCTTGGCCGGCGCACTCGATCTTGTCACCCACACGCACAGCTTGGTTATAGCTAAACCGCTTCAGGTTCTTTTGACCAAGTCCTTCGTATGAGTAGTAACGAAGATGAGACATGGTGTTGAGTCGTGAGATTGGCTTCAAGAAGTCTACCCGTCGACTGGTTTTAATCAGGCATTGAAATCTTCAAACGACGAAATGTGCTCAATGGGTTGATTCTGGACGATAGATGATAAATAGGCAACGCTTGTGAAAGATGTCAGATTGCTCTGGCCTTTATAGGTACTGGCAAGACTCATTGTACTTACCCAGTGTCGACGTCATGTTCCGGAAACTATATTCCTACATATGGGGGCCCACTCCACTATATTCCGTGCCTTTGACGATTTCGAACACCTGGAGTCACATAGAGAACAGGTTAGAGCACAAGAATGATGTATCATCCGATCTACTAGCTCAAGGTTCCAAGAAAAATGGGATTGGGAAGTTTAAACCTGAGTGCCAATATAAATTTTCCTTTCGTGAAGTTGAGATAAACATGACCGTTATGTGTTACTGTTCAAAGACAAGGGCCACAACTGCAGAACAAGCAGCATGGAAAGCAATATAAATCTCTTCAAACAATCTTGGTGTAATGTTGCTATGGCATGGAGGTTGAGCCCCACGCAAGTACAGAGCTGGTTGAATAGCGCGCAGTCCGGTCAAAAGCCGACCGCAAGATAGGAAAATAGCACGATAGAAAGCAAAAAACGAATACGAGTACCAAAGAAAACACGACCAGTCACGAAATACAAGAGACGAGGGGCTCTTTTCTTTTTCTTTCATCTCCATCTCTTTAGCATGAGTACTCCTCACCGAGCACCCTGCTGCTTTTCCCTTCACTCATTCATGCCTGACCCTTTCCCAGCAGAACCAAGTTGGCCACATTCATCGCCGCTATAAGGATCCAGATCAGAACAGCGAAAACAGCAGTGTACCACGAATTCGCCATCTTGACCATGCCACTCGTGTTTTCCGATGTCTCTTCATCCGATGGGGTCCGGAATCGGGCCGCGCCATCACGGACCGTCATGTACTTGTTACGGCACGTAAAGTAGATCAAGGGCGCAGTGATGAACGGCAAAACGACACTAAGCACGACCTGCGACGCATTCAGCGCGTCGCTCACGCCCTCCCGACCTATAGCACCGGCGATTACTATGCTCGGCGTGACGCTGATGCTGCGAGTCGCGAGGCGCCGCAGCCAGGGACGCATCCTCCAGTTCAGCGCTCCCTCGCTTACCATCTGCCCGGCAATCGTGCAAACGATTCCAGCGGAGATTCCGGAGAGGAGAAGGGCCAGGGCGAAGACTGTGCCCGCGGCCTTAGAGATGGAGTCCGTGAGAAGCTGGTGGATGCTAAAGATGTCCGCATCTGGGGCATCCTTATTCCCATAAAGTGAGGCACCCGCGACGATTAGAATAGCGGAGTTGACGAAGAGGGCGAACGTGAAGAGTGAGAATCCCAATTCGGCCGTCGAGGCCATGAGGGAGTGCTTTATGGCCTTTGCAGATGGGATGTAGTAGCCCTTGTCGATACTATCACCACTGAGGTCGAGCTCGTTCGTTTCAGGGGGTAGCAAGCCGTTCTTCGTGTCGTAGTCCCGTAGGCGGGCCTGGACGATCCCTGATCCGAGGTACAGACTATGCGGCATTACTGTTGCGCCAAGGATGCCACAGGCCTGGTATAAACTGCGCATTGTCAGAACAGTGCTAGAGAACAGGGAGTGAAAGACCAATACCCTTGCGACTCGACGACAGCATGTGAGGGTAGATAGCCTCGGAAGACCTCCCCCACCGGCGTGTCCTTGATCAGGGAGAGCTGGATACAGAAGCAGACCACCACGCCCAACACTAGGCCAATGACGAAAAACTCAAACATCCTCAGCCCTCTCATGGTTCCATGCGGCCTGTAGAAGATGAGGATGATCATCACGTCCAGGATGGAGATGGCACACCCTGCGACCAGGGGTATCGCGGGAATGAGGAGGTTCAGGCCGATTGCGAAGCCGATTACCTAAATCAAGAAGTCATTCTCAGCGTCCGTTGCGCTCTCAAGAGATTGGGTCGCAACCGGGTGTGAGAAAACGCACCTCTGCAATGTCGGTGGCAATAATGGCAACCTCCGCAAAGACATAGAGAACATAGTTCATCCACCGCGGCAGAAACGCCCGACAAGCCTCAGCCAGGTTCAGCCCGGTGACGGTGCCGAGCTTTGTGCAGAGACTCTGGAGGAAGATGGCGAACAGGTTGGCCAGAAGAACGACAAAGAGCAGGCTGAAGCGGTAGGACGCTCCCGCAGCAACGCCTGTTGCGTAGTTTCCAGGATCGACTATTCACGCGGACGGGTATGTCAGTCAACTTTGTTTGCTCACTAGACAGGTCATGCGGTCCTACTGTACGCGACGGAGATCATGAACCCAGGCCCGATGAAAGAACCGAACTTTATGATAGCACTCTTGACACGACCAAAGATGCTCCGCTGCGTTTGAGTGTCATCTCCTCCAGTGGGAGATGAGCAGCGTGAGTGAAGGGGAGGGAGAGGGGCCGAGAGGGCCTCCTCTCCCACGGGTTGACCAAGTCCAACTGACTTGGCCGACGCGGCGCCGCTCGGCGCCGGGCCAACGCCGTCTTTCCCCCAGTCGGTCTCGGAGCGTGATATACCAACGTCACCGGCCCCCGGGAGAGTTTTTCCGTCTTCTCCCGGCTCCAGTGCTCTCGCATTGACGGTCCCGTTGAGGTCCTCGTTGGTGGTCAAATCGTTAGACAGAGGGTTCGGGCTCTGATTGTAGCCCTCCTCCTCGTAAGGCTCATCTGTTCGAGACGGGCGGTTCATGACTTCGTTGTGACTTGTAAGCAGCCGATAATCATGCTTTGGTGAGGAAGTACGCTACGTAGTCTCTTGACCACTGCCGTGCACGTAAGGTTTCGGCTAAGCCGAAACCACGGGCACGGCATGACTAATCATACGATAATTTTGCGGGTCTATCGAACTTCAGCTATGCAATCGGGAAGACGACGGCTATTCGCAGCGTGAGTTGGCCAGCCATTTTGCTCCTGTAAGTCGGGGCGAGCTGTTCAAACTCTAGAAGAGTTGAATAACGAAGTTTGCCCATAACGGCAAGTAAGAAAGGCTGCATCCACTTTGCCAAGCTGCCAAGCATCGCTAAGAGCCGGTCAAGACAATGGAACACTGGTTTATTGTGCAACCTCGCAACCACATGTATTCAGACTCACTTTTAGTCGTCTCGATAATATGAGATTCAATAGTCGTAGGTCGTAGGTAGGCATCCTCTGTATAGGGGGCCAACGACGACTATCCAGGTAACCCAACAGGTACGGGTGGACCTTGAACACATCGACTGGCACGTGTAAAACAAAGCTAAAATAATAACAGAAGCTGGTATTTGCCCTAATGATAAGCACTGAGTCTGGAAGGAGTGGAAGATAGTGTGATTATTGTTGTTAACGTATGACGCTTGTAGAAACTCCGGCTTTAGGAGGTACTTGTAAACCAGGCTAATTCACACATGATTGGACACCATGATATTATGGGGAAGCTTATGCCTATCATAAGTGAAGCTGCAGTATGGAGGCAACTCGTTCGAGGCAGAAACTCACTTCATGTTTCCCAGTCAGCCTTCTTGCTTATTGTTCTGACACTGCTGGCTTTCCTTGATGTGTAACACTTATGCTGGAATACTGACTAAGACTAACCTGCATGAAAATGAAACTCATCAAATCTGATCAGTCTCTGAATATTATAAATAGGCATGGAAACCGGATCGAGGATCGGGATATATTTAAGTATAGTAAACTTTTCCGGCATCACGCTTCTTTGCTAAGGCTATTCAATCAAACAAGACAGGGGATGTCTTGGAATAGTTGGTCTCATTGGAATCTAAACACCAATCGATGTCTTGCGTCGCTTACCTCCCAGCCGTGCCGCCACAAAAGTCGCAGTCATCGTTGTACAACACACCCATGTAGACGACTCCAAGCGAATGTTGAAGGCTGAGAACAGCAAAGAGCATCAACTACGGCAAAGACCTCTAGGCATAGAAGTGAAGGAGTTACTCGGCCGTTGTATGACATCAAAATCGAATGTCGGGGGTTGATCCAACTTGCGACCTTCCCAAGATTAGGACGTAGTCAAGGTCTACGTAGCAGAGACATTGGGCAACAACCGTCAAATCCGCAGAACCAGTACAGTCAGCTTCAGAAGGGCGCAACCCACTCCGAGTCCGCAACGCACAGCTAGTGTAACCGGACCATAAACATGTAAGCTCGCCAAGCAGCCGCGCATGCAACACCTCTTCAGAGGCGCGGCGTCGCGGTAGCAAAAGGTACACGCGGGCGAACGAATCGGCTCAGGCGGGCTTGGAGGTGTATTGGCGCAGGAAAGGGAGCTTCAGATGCGGCATGTGAGTTGCGACGGAGTCTGCCCCATGTTATCGGCAGCCAGACCAATAACACTCAATCATCAGAATCCCCGGACCAACCGCCAGATACTTCAACTCCCCTCCCTATCGGAACCCTCCAGCGAGCGAGCCAGCTCTCGTACGCGTCGGGATCCTCTCCCGCCCATCAGTCAGCGTGTCCGGCAGCCACCCCCCCTCCCCTCCACCGCGCGCCTGGTCCGATCACCACGCGCGTCAGACCGATCATCGCCGACATGTCGTCACACCTCCCTTACACAAAGCAACAGCCCCCCTCCCTCAAAGGCAGAGGAGATCCTCGGGTTGCTAGACAGCTTCGCACACCAACGCGCGCTAAGCTTTTTGTAGCCAGCGAGTGGACGACAAATCGACAATGCCATCCATCAACCCAATGGACCTCACATGCCCGCCATCAATCACCTCCCAATCGTCCGCAAATAAGAGTCGATCGATCCGCAGTGGGGGAGGGGATTCGTGTTTGTAGCTATCGTTGCCCATCGACGTCGAAACTGTGTGGCACATGTTCGGCATTCGATGGATTCATTATCCGCAGGCCCTCTCATGCAAGCTTGCTGGTATTCCCGAGACAATGGTGCCCATGCCGACAGGCCGCTTTCTCCCACGTGTTGACCTTCGAGCAAAATAACAATCGGTAGTTGGGGCTTTGAATGAAATCGGTAATCGGTGGCAAATGACGTCGGCATACATGTAGACCGTAAGCTGCGGATCGTCGAGTGTGGCGCAACGCAAGTGGCCGTACGTACGCCGCACATCGTATTTCGGTCGAAAGAAGACCGTTAGGTAAATATCTTTATGCAAATTCAGCATGTCGAAGGATTCACCTCGTCAGAAGAGACTCCCTTCTGTAATCGCGCGGTGGCAACTCAGCCAAGGTGACTGCAATAATTTCGTGGTTCAATTGAAGGTCGATGCCTTTCCCCCGCCTAACACGAGGTATATACACAATATGTGAACGTAAGACCAAAGGCTAAATAAAGCCCTTACCAATAACCGAAACGCCCAATGCTGTCCAATGCCCAATGTGTGTCATTTGATGGTATGTCAAAACCCCCGAATGATGATGATGATCGTTAGTATACAAGTCGCGAACCGATGCAAGTTTCTTTTTCCACTCCGAATACCGTGTCCGTGCCGTAAGCCATAAACGAGTCAAGTATAATGCTGCTGGCCAGCTCGGCCACAAGGGGTATCATGCCCTGCGCGGGCGGTGTCCGATTATGCTGTGTAGAGAATGCCCTAGGATCGTATCCCAGGAAAAGGTTTGGCCCCGAAGGTCGTCAGGGTGCGCGTGTCCCGACGGCGGGGTTGAATGATGACCGTGATTTGGTGGTCATGCTGTCGCAAGCCAGATGCAGAGTGTCGAGTCTTTATCGACACGCGCGGGGGAGTGGTGCGATTTTCTTTGTTTAAATGATGTCCTCCTCTTCTGATTTGTTCACAGAGCCCCCAACTCTTCATTTCTTGCCCTTGCTGGGGGCCGCAGTGATTTTACTCGTGGTCATGAGGTCGCCAATGTACTTCTGAAGGAACTTGTTGTTGTTATCCAGCTTGTCGTGTTCTTCTCTGACGGCCTCGATGCGGTTGAAAATAGTCAGGAGAGAGTCCTGAAGGGCCTTCGCGTGTCTGAGACGGGGGTTCGTTAGCCAAAATCATTCCGTAACACTGGTGGAAGCGCTCACCTCTTCAATTCTTCCCGGGCTTCTCTGCCAAGTGCTTCAATGTCCTCGCTGGTCCTCCGCGGGCTCATCGCCCTCACATCGTCAGGTCCAAACTCGGCATCGATGGGGCCGACAGCCGAGCTGTCTCGGGGCACGACTAGAGGTCCACTGCTCTTCCGGCTGGGTAAACGAGGGCGGATGGGCGTCGGCTGGTGGATCTGGTGCTCGTCGTGCTCGTGGTCGACAGAAGACGAGGACGAACTCGACTGGGAGCGCTCGATGTGGGGAGGAAGGTGCGACTGTTCGCTGTGCTGCGCTTGATGTTCGTTGTCCATGTTTACGGCGCTAAAAAGTCGGTTGCTGTGAGAGAGATGTGGAATGTCGCGAGTGTCGATTGTCGGCGAGGGGTGTGCCGGTGAGAGCGCAGGTAGGGTTTTGTTGCTGGGTGAAGCAGTTCGTGGTGCCAAGGTGTGTAATAAAAACTGCCTGCTGAGGAGCGAAAGGGCGGCTCAAAAGGCAAATATGAATGGAACTGAATGGGACTCCGTCACCGGGTTGCAGGCTGAGAAACGGGGTCTTGCCACCATGTATTGTAAACAGGGTCAAGGCTCTCTTGGGAGCTGGCGAGCAGTGGCGGAGAGGAGTCGAGGAAGGCGGGAGAAAAGAGTCAGGTGGTTGCAAAGGCGGCAAGGCGGTACTGGTAGCGGTGATGTGCGGGTGGTGGTGGTGGTGTATATGGGGGGGCGTGGGCTATTATGGAATGTAGGGAATGTAGGGGTATTGGGTGGTTGTATTCCGGAAGCAAGTAGGGTCCTACCGGTCTCAAAAGGCAGGGTCAGAGCCGGCGAAGCGGGAAGAGGAGGGAAGAAGAGTCGTGGGAGAGCAGATGAAAAGGAACAGGCCGAGTCGAGCAAAAGAGTGAGAAAAAGGCGCGGTGGGCCGCAAAGAGCAGTGCGCACGACTATGAATGGGGGGGATTGGGGGGTAGCGGACGGGATCTCGTCGGTGTGAGTGGGTTTTGGGCAGCCTGCTATTTTTTTTTTCTCTTCCTATTCTTCCTCGCTCGGTTTTTTTTTCACCCTCGCCTTTACTCCGTTCCTTGTCACTTGGCCGCGTGATTTTCTTGGTCAGGTCGCCTGGCGCCAATTGCTGGGTTTTTGCTGCTCCTTCGAGGTGGGGTCGTATGGCAATCGGAATTTGACGAGGGAGAGAGAAAAGAGAAGAGACCCAGAGAATAGGTGACTGCGAGGGTGGGAATGCTGTGGGAGTAATACGGGATTGCGACGGTAGGGTAGGGAAACCGTGCGTGCAGGCGGTTGCGTCGACGGCCGTGGTCGTCGTCGTAATAGTGACTGTGCTGCGTACGGTGGAATGGGATGAATGGGATTGGGAAAGAGGGACCTGACGTGAGGGTGGTCGCAAATGGCTGGCTTGGCTGAGTGGGTTTGGGTCAACATTGACGTTCACAGACGGCCAACTTCGTCGCGATCTGCGGTACTCGGGACCAGTTGGCATTTGTAACTCGCAATGGCTGGGATTGCCCTCTTTGTGAATGGTCACGATGGACCTTTGGGTGTCGATCGGATTGTGGGCTCTCTCGCTCACACAGTCTCCTCTCTCGCCCACCGTTATGTGCAATGTGCAGTGTAGAGAGACGGCGGCAAGGATCGGACGAGGGTGTCGAGGGCTTGGGAGCCTTGAGTCCAAGGATGGTGGGGGGGCAATGATGGGCACAGCAGGGGTTAGGGAGAGGGACGCGGACAGCGAAGGAACCCGTAACAGGTTGCTGACTGGATAGCAAGCCCGGTCAGGCTGAAGCGGTGTGGAGAAGAATGATGTTATCGCAACCCTTTTTGTCGCTGGGCTTGTGTCGTCGGCTGTTTTGCCTCTGCAACTCTGTGCCTGTTGTGGTACTGGGTTAGGCCAAGTTGCGAGAGTTGTTGCGTAGTACCGTATATTGTGTACGCGTGCGGAGGACAGGCAGTAGGATACCTGGGCAGTCTATTCGCAGACCCCGTTGGTCGGTGCTCTGCAAAGACGTGTTGATCTTATTGGTCTGAGCAGTGCAGAGCCGAGCGAGGAACGACGTTGGAGGAGCCTGAGCTGAAGACGGTTTGCACCTTGTACGGTGTGCGGTGTGTCGCCTGCTGGCGTGGATCGAGCAGCGTGTGGAATTGCGGCAGCCATGTGGGAATGGAATGGGAGCGCGCTATTTGCGTAGCGCGTACGACATGAAAAGGCACTGGGCGCGTGGTGATTGGTTGGCTAGGTCGAATGTATTAGTTGACGAGTCGGGGTGAGATGGGAGAGGCGGACAGCTTCCCGGGCGGTACGGTGTAAAGAGCAAAGACGCGGTGCGATGCAGGCAGCAGATCGTCAAGTCTTGGACGAAGAAGATTGGTGGCTGGTGACCCAAGCATGAGAAGGCGTCCCCCATACATGCAGGAGATGAGCTGTTGGTGTCGGTGTCGAACCGACGGACGGGATGAGAGCAGGCCGATATGCACAGGAATGGGGGCCTCAGCAGCTGGGCTTCCTGTGTGCAGTGTCTCTGTGTGTCGTTGTTCGCAGCGGAGAGAAAACCGCCGATGCCATGTGCAGAGAAGAACCAAGACACGCCGGCAAAGGTACCGCGTAAAACACCCGGCATCAGCACGGCCTCGCTGGAATTGAAGTTGACGACAGCCTCATCTCAATCGCAACGCCATGTGCAATGGGCGCCAGAGCACAAAGGCGCCGACGGTATGGGTATGTGTGTGTAAATGTTTGCGCCTGAGACCGAGACGAACGGATGCCAGACGGGCAGCCTGGATCCGCATCCGTCGGTACGTATCTTTGCGGTCTCCTGCTTCGCTGGGAAGACCCGAGTGGGTGTGTGTCCCGCTGCTGCTAAAAGCGTTCAAGTGCCAGGTTAGAACGGAAGGTGCCCCCCTTGGACCACTTGGAACGAGGAGGGGAGAAAACGGCCGGAGGTGAGAGAGCAGGAGCGGACCCGCCAGAACTCGCACAGGCAGCCTGCTGTTTTGGTCAAGTGCAAATCCCAGCCGGGTTCTGCTGAACTGATTGGAAGCCCCGATACGTACCGCGCTGGCGGGTCCTGCAATTCCATGTCCCTGGAGCCAAGAGGTAATTCGGTGCTAGGACCTGAGGCATACTTTTCTGCCCACATGTCACTCTGCTTCTCCCCACAAATTGTGCCGCTGGGAGGGAGTCCGTTCTTGAATCGTACCTCATCTCACCTTCCATCCTTACCCCACATGTCCGGTACGTACTCTCTACCACAGTTTTTTCTCCTTTTTCCTGCTTTTAGGTTTTTTCCTTTTTTCCCCTTCTCTTTCCCTCGTGCTCCCATCTGCTGTGCCACCCGTCGGTCATCCTCCACGGCATCTTTGTCGTCCATCCTTGGGTATCTCACGATGTCGCCAACATCCTCCCCCTCCAGCTTAGCCTCGGAGGGTGGGAGAGCTACCACACACACTTTCACACTAAAGTAAAGGTGGGTGACACGAAGTCTTGCCGATAGTCTCCATGTGGCATGTGGCTCGCTAAAACACTAAAAACTCAGCATTTGCTTTTCTACCTTGACTTTCCCATCCTCTCTGCTTCTGGTCATGTCGGGGCTTATTTGCAAATCCCCCCCTTTCATCTCGATCATCATTTCCTTGATACTGACGTGACAACCGTTGATGCCGCCGATGCCCTGACTCCTATCCAGCCCCCATTCATGTTTCAATATGGATGCAGCAAACCGCATTGTGCATGAATGGGAAATTTGGATTTGACCTCTGCCAGGAGCGCAAAAAGAAAAGCCCCACGGCGGCACCAACGCAACCATTCCTGCGCTGACCTCACCATTCACGCGCTCAACTCTTCTCCACGTGTTGCACAGTTGGACAGATACCAGACGTCGTCCTGTCCCTCTCCTCGGCCTCTGGCATCCTCCTTCAAAGACCCCTGGGGAGTAACATCGTTGGCTCCAGCACCAAACAAGGGCACGAGGTATGCCTGCACTAGCACCAACGAAGAAAGCCGCAACAACCCTCGACATCCGCGTCTGCGCCTGCGCCTGCGTCTCTGTGCGGATGCCGCAGGATACTGTGCCGCAGGATGCATCCCATCCCACAGTACGTACACGATGTACTATTACCTAGTATCGCACATAAGCGTAGCACTGAACAGAGGATAGGTACGTATCCCCTCCTGCTGCAAAAGCTCGACCCTGTCGGGACAATCTTTTGCTGATCAACGCCTGTGACGCCATACCCTCCAAGGGCAAGGCTGGGATCCCGATCTCCACCATTCACATCGACGTCAACGGGAGCTTGACCTGAACTCTCGGGCTTAGAGGAACATCTTGTACTGCCAAGTGCAACGCTCGACTTCTGACTGGTGCGCGACGCTCCCGCCATCCACTTCCGGCAGACAGCAGCCGGTTTGGCGGCTTCGGCGGCCCCCCCTCTCCCTTCTCCGCTGCCAGCCAGGAGACTAGGGGGCTCAGTAGTGATATTGCGCCTACTACGAAGCGGGTACCAATTCCCTTGTTGTCTTCGACCTTGGTCCGCCAGTTGGTCCGTCGGCGTGTCGCCCCTCAGTTTATCGTGCGGGAGCAGCCCTCTCCTCGTCCGTCGGGCATCATAGGGGACCACGCTAATACCTAACGCTACGAAGGAATCAGTCTGACATTGGGGGGGGGGGGGGGGGGGGGGGGGGGGACGGGGGCGGCACGTCGAGGGAGGTGGGGGGGGCAGTCCCTTTTTTCTTCCACGATTGACTCGATCCGTCAACCGTTCCGCCCATCCGTTTCTTTCTTTTCACGCCTTTCCTCCTGTTATGCATCTGGTGTCTCCTAACCCTGATTGTAGGATGTAGGATTCGCCCAGTCAGCAGCTTGTCGTGAGCATGACAAAAGGTGCTGGCCTGCCTTCTCCATCAAACTGAGCATCTTGTTGCGATACTCCGGACTCAACAAGAGGAGCTGAGAGTGAGAGTATGGCTAAGTCAAGCGGCATTGGGCAGCGACGAGTGTGTTTCGATGGTACTTACCACCAACATCCATCCACCGCCAGCCGCCACGATCCTGTCCTGTCATAGGTATCTTGGGATACCGCTGTCCGCAAAAATGACAGGACCCCCCTCTTTCACACCGTGGCAGGCCCCCAATGCTCAACCGACCATCACTTGACATCCCACTCACCCAGGACCCTCTTCGGCCCCGTTCCTACATTAGAACAACTGCCCGACCCAAGTTCTATTCTACACTACTACGTATGCAGTCTTGTATCAGTGTACTTGGTGTCCCGTACTCTTCTGTACATTAGCTTGGCCAGTGCCACGG